GGGAAGCTTGCTTTCTGAGTTTCTGGGGGTGGGGTTTACCTTACGAGCAGACAGCAAAGTGGAGAGAAGGTTTCTTCTCGGGATGTTTATGAGAGTGTCCGACGGAATCTTGCTGATTTGGAGTTTTAATTCCAGACAAGGTACATACACACCCTCCAAAGACATCAAGATAATCAAAGCCGCTGTTTTCCCGTCGCGCTTGTATGGTTCGCGAGCGTCTATGAGCAAAATTCACATTTGCTTAATTAGATGATTTGATGAATCAGGTAGGTAGGTAGGTATCCGTGAGAGTGAGAAAAGGACTTCCCAGGATGGTACACACGTACTTCGGTCCGTCTTTGGATTGTTTCCGCAAACCCCTCAAAACCATCCGGGTTATCTAAGCCGACTTGGTTAGATAGGTGATGAAATAAAGTGTTAGTATACACGTCAGCAGGGCAGCCTGAGGGCCACGTACGAAGCTCAATAATCTTGGTATTGAACTGCGTATGTATGGGTAAGGAGGAAGTTGGTGGACAGAGCCCACGATTCCTCCGTTGGGTGTAAATAGGTGGATGGCCCGTTTGTAACGGGCCCCCAGACCACCTTCCAAATCCCTTTTTCTGCCGTCAACATTCCAACAGAAAGCATTACCCAGCAAACTTACTTGCTCAATAGATTCAAGGGGGCGCCCGTTGTGTACATGCACTTAATTTAGGCACCGGGAGATGTGGACCGACAAGTCTTGCTCCTTTCCAATCACCGAGTTTAACAAGTAGATCAGCTGGGAGGAACGGATAGGTTGACAAGGTTTTGTGCCCGAGAAACCACGCGACTTTTTTTTGCGCTGGGCGATAGCCTTGCTGGCGTCTTCGACCAAAGTCACTCGGAGGGTCATGTGACACCTCCACGACGTCGACGATGTGTGTATATCAAGACCTCTGTTGATGAAGAGGCTGAATAGAGTCGTGGAGAACTGTGCTTGTTGATAGCTTCAATCACCGGGCCTCTTCATGTCCCATGGACATTGTGTTCATAGCGGCCTCCCCGATATCGCCATGAGTCTCATTTCGCTTTGTTTGTATGATAGTTCCAATCTTGATTTACTTCTGTGATAAGATATGGTGTATGAAAGTGACTGCGAACACCCTATATCCCGAGACATTTTGCAGCTGCTCCAGCCTTGAGCCTTGTAAGAGAACTGGCGCTTAGCTATCTCGAGCAAGACATTTGATCGGAGGAAATGCATTTCTACGACCTCGGACTCTTACTTCAGTCTAAGGCCTCGTATGTATCAATCTCGGACAGATTGTGCTTACGCTTCCTAGCCATCGAATAACCAGACCGTAGTCGTCGTGCCTGCATATCACTCCCTAGTCCCCGCACTCACTACGGAGACTGATCACGTTGATGTTTATTCCTTCTCACAGACGATTAGATCTATCGAGTATGACCTTGCGCATACATCTAATACCTCCAACGTATCGTTCGAACGCCTTCCTTGGTTACTTTGTGCCAGGTTGTCTCTCTGCTGAACTCTCCGTTTTGAGAACTGTGCAGAAGTCGCCACTCATTATTAGCACTCTTGCACTCTTGGATGCTTATCTTTTGCCAATCTATCACTAAAAGGCATATGTTTCCCTACCTTTCTATCGGGAGAGGTGGAAAATCTGGAACTGCTTACAACGAAAATTTCTTTTCCCCACGTATCCCAGTCCAGATGATCTGTTGCCACGACGATTGGTCGAGCCACGCAGCTTTGGGTGCGAGAGCAGCATACGGCGACATATCCAGACTAGGGAGGTGGGATGCCAAGCTGGAAAAGGACCTACTTCGTTCTCCTGACTCCTTATTTCTCAATAGCACTATTTGCATACTAGGACTGCGTCCCGTGCCACTTGCGAGGTTCCAGTCCATATCTGTGGCGAATGGGTATTGCCCCTTACTCAGGGCTATTCTAAATACTCTATTCGACGTGAGATTTGAGAAAACTCCCGAAATGTGTGAAACTGCGCTCCTCTATATGAATGTTGAATATCAATAAGATTGTGCTCATTTGACTATGGATGCGTTCGTGTTGATCAACTTGGAATCTTAGATCATCAACTCTGCATCGTTCGTGATATCGCAGTGCCCTTGATTCATTCTGTTTACTAGGTAGCTGATGGAGAGTAAGCGGGCACCTTCAAATCTAAGGTCTCGAAGTGGCTGCTTTTCTTTTTCGCTGGGTAAGTGGACTATAGGGTTCAAGACACATCATCCATAGAGCCATATACACATTCAATGCCTTTCCAGGTGAGAATGAGTTGGGGTCTTGCAGCCTTTTGAAGCAAGGTGTCTTCAATCCTAGCTGTGTTCACATTCGCAGCACTCAGAGATCTCCCGTCACCAAAGGACTTGTGCATCACAGCCGGAATCTCGTGCCCTTGTCTAAGAATGCTTGATTCTCACAGAAGCTGCATACGAGACTATCCGAGGCAAAATATTACCGCTTGCATTTAGCAGTCCATGTTGAATCACATGTCATTTAGGTTCCTCTCTCTCTCTCTCTCTCTCTCTCTCTCTCTCTCTCTCGCTCTTGGGGGCCTCGGTCAATGATGATTATCGTGATCAGAAGTCAATGCCATAGATGCAGTGAGAGGCCGATGATCAGATGTGGATACTGCAGTACTATGCTTGGAGACGAATAGCCCGAATCATGTGAAGGAACAGCTTAAGCACTTAGAGTCTTGTGCTACGAAGAACATGATGTGAGGTATGGAGGGCTGGATCCCATGATGGAGACAAATAATAGTATCAACCAACATAACTCAAACTTGAATGTAATGTCGACTTTGATCCTCGGATGCATGCAAGAGAGAACTGTTTACGAGTCTTGCAAGTCCTCTGAAAACGTCAACTTTCCGATGAGACTACTACCGTTGTCCCTCTACAGACGAGGACCAAGAAACTCGCTTGATCGCGGGAGCAGACGACTACTAGGTTGATATATGGTAGTGATCGTATTCGATCTCCTGTTGAAGACACGAGCAGCTTTACAGACATGTGACTTGACCTATGCAACTCCTGAGGTCCAGCCATCCGCCCCTCTGTGAGACGCTAGAATGCGATAGGTCGAATGAATCCCCATATCTTCCACATTGTGTCTACCGGCAGCTTCCCTGCAGGACTTTGGAAGTGCATCATACCATAACACATATGAGGGACCTACTGCGCCTGTGGTTGGTCAATGAGTGTGGTGGTGTGCAGGTGATGGACCGTGGAAAGTTGTTGTATAGATGAATTGGCTTTCGCACTCAATGGGAATTTTTGTCATAACTGTAGCTCTTATACACTCAGGAGGCCTCAATCTCGTCACAACTTGACAAGAGCTGAAGTCAAATATTATTGCGTTACTCTCTAGCTCACCGAGAGGGAGGGAGGTACCTATCATGAGTTGTCGGCTTTCAATTCACTCCAGGATGGTCAGTGCGATGCCACGCCAGCTCCCATCTCGATCGCTGAATCACAGGACAACGCAGATATGGAGCTCAGTTGCGTGCTAGCTAGCCTCGTGGTCTGGGTCGATGGGGGCACGTTGGGCAGAGAAAGTTTGCTATATATCAAATTAAGGAAAACAAAAACAACACGGAGAAAAACATCCACAGACTCACATGTTTGACACAGCCTAGCCATTGACGCATGACGTCATGCCAATTGGTTCTTTAGTGTTCATTCTGTTGCTTTGCTGCTGTGTGGTTGAAGCCACAATGTGGCTTGAGTCCCTCCATTCCTCGTTGAATTTCACGCTTCAACCACGGGGATCAAGAACCAAATAGACTCCTGTGGCCGGGTAGTATCCGACTTCATCCTTCAATTTGACAACTTGTCCTCCCCTTCCGAACCCGGTGCGAGTCCTGAAACTGCCCAAATGCATCACAATACCGGCCATTTCCAGCGAATTCATGCGGCCAAGCGGTTTGCAGCGTTTGCTAGACGCCGGGCTCCACGTCAGTGCTAATCTTGGAGCGACACTCAGAACTCTCAATGCCCCTTCGCTGCCGGGCGCATGAATGATGCTCGTTTCTAACAGGGAACGCCTGTCCACCAACATCGACTCCATCGCCAACGCACACCACGTCGACTATTGTCGACGACCAAAGCACCAAAGCCCAAGATGGGTCCTATTTCTTCTCTCTCCCAATGGCCAAGTTGTCGTGGCACAACATCAGACGCAGGAACACGGAGACCCTTGGATGAAGCCCCCCGAAAACTCTCGCCCGAGGCAAGGAGGATGCTGTCGATATTTGACAGCTGTCACCAGGTTGCCCGGCGACAGGGCGAAAGTTGCCCACAGGACAAGTTGTCTACTTTGTTCTCAATCCGCCCTCGATGGCGGTGCGATTTCGCGATGACCGGTTGCTGGGCGCGGCCCCGTTGAGAAGTCTTGACTCGGCCATGGCACCCTCGCAGCACCCCTAGTTAACATCACCATCTGTACCATAGTATATCGATGTCATGCGTTGTGAGGCGGACGGGGTCCACCTTGGCGCGCTCAGGGACATCGGATGGGAGTCCGCCGTGATATCTCACCAATCATGGAGCGGAAGCACGCGGAGGCACAGAGCATTTCCTCTCAATATCGGGGGTTCGGCCGACTAGGGGGGACAAGGCCAGGCCCTGGACGAAAGCACTTGCATGATCGCTGGTAGGAACATCACACAGAGCCGGGGTTTCCTGCCTTATCGCTTGGCTGGAACTGTATTGTCTGCTTGTTATTCTTTGGTGGTTGAGTCGAAGGGGTGGGTGGTATATATCGTAAACTGGGTGGCCACCCCGCAAGAGCCGAGGATGTTTCGAACGCTCAGTCAACGTCAGAGTAAAGTCAAATTCACAAAACCTCACGATACTTGCTTTCCCACGCAGAAATTCTGGGACTGCCCGAATCCCACGAAAACACCGATTAATCACAACACCCTACTCATCATCTTGTCATAGAGAGAATCGACTCTCTCTCGAACCCCGATTCGATGACAGCCAAGATGGACGTTGCCACGCTCGTGGCGCAGATGAACGAGGCCCTCGCGTCGATCCACTCGACGATTGAGGGTCTGTCGACATCTGCAGCCGAGAGCGACACAAAGCTCGACGAGCTCGAGCAGAAGCGTGACATGACGATCGCAGAGCTGAAGGCGGCCTACGAAAAAGAGCGAGAAGAGCTCGCGGCCGCGCACCAGAAGGAGCTGGAAGACATTGCCGAGCAAAGGCGAAAAGAAGATGAAGAGCGAGAAGCCCGTCGCCGGCGGGAAGACGAGGAACTCGCAGCCCGCAAGGCCAAGGAGGACGAAGAGAAGCAAGGCACTTTTGATACCACTACCCGTAATGTCGAAGACGAGATAGACGACCTCATGGACAGCATTGAGGAAGAGACGGCCAAGACGATTTCAGAGGGCGAAGCGAAATTGGCAGAACTTGAGGCCAAGAGAACGGTAAGCAGGGCTGATAGACGTCCCGAAATCTGGCAGCATCATCTAACATCATCCGTCCCAGGAACTCAACCGCATGATCGAGGAGCAGATGAAGGCCGCGGTGCCTCCGGTCCCAACGCGAAAACGTGCGAGAACAGGGCGGCGATCAGGCACCGTCCCATCCGCGGAACCGTCTCCATTACCTCCGCCCGAAACCCCCGCCGAACCAGCCGCAGGGGACAAAAGCATAGACGAGGAGAAGCCCGCCGAGAACGGTGCCGTGCCCGAAGAGAAGGCCGAGGCGCCGGCCGAGGAAGACAAAACCCCCGAAGGTGATAATTCCCAGCCACAAACCGAAGAACCAGTGGCTGAAAAGAGCTTGGAGGAGACCACTAGCACCGAGAAGGAGGCGGCACCGGCTCCCGAAGCCGAGGCTGAGGTTGAGGCCGAGAAGGCTCCCGAGGAGGAGCCTGTCGCTGAGGAGGCCGCACCGGAAGAGGCTCCCGAGCCCGCGCCCACGGAAGACAATAAGGAAGAGCCCGCTGTTCCCGAGGAAAGCCAAGAAAGCGCCCCGATTGATGAAGAGGAAGCTTCTGCTGAGCCTTCCGCTGAAGCCCGAGATGCCGCTGCCGACGACGAGAAGCATGATGCGGTTGAGGTCAGGGGCCTGGCTGTGGAGACTCCGGAGACAGCGCCTGTCAAAGACGCTCCTGTCGCCGAGGAGCCTTCTACCGAAGAGCCGGCAACAGAGGAGCCGGCAACAGAGGAGACTGCGGCAGCTGAGGAGACCGCAACGGCAGATCAAGGCGATGATGCCCCACCACCAGAAGAGTCTACAGAGGAACCTTCCCCCGAAGAAGCTCCCGCTACTGAAGAAGTCCCCATCGCCGAGGGCGCTCCCGCCGCTGAAGAGCCTGCAACAGGGGAGCCTGCAGTGGAAGAGACTCCCGCTGAAGACGCATCTGCGACCGACAAGGAAGCCCCCGTAGAGGCGGCCGTGGAAGAGGTTACTGTGGCAGAGGAAGCGCCTGCTGCCGAAGAATCCGCAGCAGAGGAAGCCCCGGCAGAAGAAGTCCCGGCAGAAGAAGTCCCGGCAGAAGAAGTTCCGGCAGAGGAAGCTCCGGCAGAAGAGGTTGCGAGCACCAAGGAGCTAGCAGCCGAGGAGCCTCCTGCTGATGATCTACCTCATGATGATGCACCCGCTCCCGAGGAGGCTCCAGCTGAAGACACCCCAGCCGTGGAAGCACCCACAGAGCAGACAGCTGCGGTTGAGGAAACCCCCACTGTCGAGGAATCCACTGTCGAAGAAAATCAACCAGCTGCAGAAGCTTCAGCCGAGGAAGCCCCCAAGGAGGTTGTCACCGCTGACGAGGCTGCTCCCGAACCCATCGAGGAAGTTTCTGATGAAGCCCAACCGACGTCGGAAACTCCAGAAGAGGATGCTTCCAAGGAGGGGCCTGTCGCCGAAGATGCACCTGCTGAAGATGCACCTTCTGAAGAGGCTATCGCTGAAGAAGCTATCGCCGAAGAAGCTACGCCGACAGCCGACCCCGAGGATTCTGCCCCAGCGGAGGAGGCCAAGACGTCCGAAGAGAGTGCCCCTGCTGAGGACCCTGTGGCATCTGAGACCGATGTTCCCAGCCAAGACGATGCACCTGCCGAGACCGTTCAACTCACCGAGGAAGCGACCGAAAACGCTGAGGAGGAGGCGACACCAGCCGAGGCTGCCTCCCACGAGCCAGCACCTGAAGCAAGTGAAGATGCGGCTAAGGCCGAAGAAGTTGTTGCAAAGGACGCCCCAGTTGATGAAGCCGCACCTGAAGCGGCCCCAGAAGTTGCGGAAGATGATACCCCGAAGCAAGCAGACGAGGAGCCTGAAGATACTAGTGCCGAGGAAGTTTCTCAAGAGAGATCGCTGCCTGAGATCTCGATGAAGGCTGTCGAAGATGAGCCCGCCGCGGGGGAGGCTCCAGTCGCAGACAACAGCGACCCTGTCGAAGAGGAGGCTGCACCAGCGGCGGACCAGGCCGATGAGGATGTGTCTCCTGATGCAGCAAAGGACCGGGACCTGCCGGAGGTCGAAACCAAGGCTGTTGACGTAGAGCCAATCCAAAAAGAGTCAGCATCTCAAGAGGAGGATGCGCCGGCTCAAGCTGAGAAGGCGGCTTCTGATGAAGATCCAGCTGCCGATGAAGCCGTCTCATCAGAGGATGCTAAGCCTGTCGAAGCTGCATCCACATCCGCAGAAGATGCTGCGACCGAGCCGGCGGAGTCAAGCGAAGAACCCCATGAGGATACCGCTGCTACCGAGGACGCCAAGGACCCGGGAACGCCTCTTGATTTAGCACCAGCAGAAGAAGAAGCCCATGCTCAAGATGAGGTAGCTGCTGCAGACATTGAAGCACCGGATGCCACTCTGGCTGAAGATGAGACTTCTACCATTGAGAAGTCTGCTCTTGAAGAAGAGGCGCCGGCAGCGGATGATGCTCCTAGCCAGGATGAGGTTCCTAGCTCAGAGGAAATCGAGCCTGAGCATGCACTACCTACCGAGGAGACACCTGCCGATGAGGCTTCTTCTGAAGCAGTTCATGTCGAATCAGAGGACCCAGCGGAAGACAAGCCCGAGCCAAATACTGATGCGCCTGCCCCAGAGCAAGCTGCCGACGAGGAGACGGCCGATGCAGCGACTGTCGAGCCGGCCGCTGATGAGTCGGCTGTTGATGAGCCGGCTGTTGATCAGAACGTCGCTGAGGAGAACGTCGCGGAGGCAGCTGCCTCGGATGACGCCGAGGTCGCGAAGGATGTGACTCCCACTGAGGAAGCGGATTTAGATCAAGCCGTGCCCGAAGCAGCATCAGCTGAAGAACAACCAGCAGCTGAATCGGAAGAGCCTGCAGTCCAAGATGCTGCAGCTGATGCTGATGAAGCTGCGGTTGAGGAAGATGGAGAGACCGCCCGTGCCGCCCCGGAAGACGAACCTAGCAAGGAGACTGTCACAGCCGAAGAAGAGGCACCCGCGGAAGAGCCAAGCACCGAAGCACCAGCTACCGGAGAGGTCGAAGCCCAGGATGCCAGCGAGGAGCAAGCCGATGCTATCCAAACCCAGGACACCGATGCAATGGCAACCAAGGAGATTGATGAGCCTGCAGCATCCCCCAAGGAGGACACTGTCCAAGCTCAGCCTGACCCTGAAGAGACAGAAGCCGAAGTCAGTGAAGCACCCCCGACAACCCAAGAGGAGGAAGAGCCCGAGCCAACCACTGCCAGCAAAGATCTTGACGATGGAGATTCCGAATACCGGGACGCTTCACATCCGCCAGAAGAACAACTCACTGGTGGTGTCGTTGACACAGCTAAGGACGATTCCACTGCTGGGCCTTCTGACGTCGCCGCCGACGCCCCTACCGATTCTGGCTTGACGGAAGCCGCTGCTGAGCCTGAGGGTCATGTCGAAGATGAAAAGGTCGAGGTTGCCCCGGCTCCAGCTGAGCATGGCGCAGACGCAGAGGGTCTTGCAGTTTCTGCAGCTCCTGCGGATGAGTCTGTCGCTATCGAGGCAGATGACTCTGTTGTTAGCGATGCCCATGCCGATACCGAAGAACCTCAGCCCTCTACTGTTGACGCTGACAAGGAGGAGGCAGAGCACGCCGACGCTACTCTTTCATCGACCGAGGAGGTAGCTGCTCATGCGGATAGCTTCGAACCTGTTGAAGACAAAGCGAATGCAGACGCGAGCGAGGAAACACCCACAGCAGACGTACCGGATCAGCATGAGACTGTAGAAGAGACTCCCGCCATCTCGGGTGATCTTGGACACGACGAGGGGAACAAGGATCTGGAGGACGCGCAAGTCGTCGACAGCCAGGCAGATGCCGCACCAGAGACACTCGCCCACGGAGATGGAGACGAAGTGGACGTTCACGAGCGTAGCGTCTCTCTCGATGAGCCTGAATCACCGCCAGCCGAGGTCCATGATGTCAGTCAATCCGAAGACCATCGCGGTCACGACGACGAGGATGCAGCAATGAAGGCTCCACCTGGTCGCGAAGTTGACGTGGAAAACGATGCCCCTCAGCATGACTCCGACCATGGTGAATTTGAAGTTGTCGAGGCGCCCCATGATGACGCTGCTTCCGATGAGGTTGATCAATCTCATGGGCCCGACCTTTCCGTCATCACGGAGCACACTGAGCCTGCTGCATCCGCAGCTGGCGACTTCTCTGGTCCAGCGGCAAAGGCCGAGGATGACCTCCATCCTGTGTCTCTCAGCCGGAATGTGTCTGAAGCGCCGGACGCAGCTATCGAGAGTTATTACGTGACCGAGCCCACGGGCATGGCTACGGACGACAGCTACGTGCAAGATCAACAACAAGAGAGCTTCACGCCCAGTCATACCTTTGTTGATGGTCACTTTGACACCAGACAGGTTCACTTCAATGAAGAGGAAGACGACGACGACTCCTCTCCAGTTCTTAGTGTCAGGGATGATGATAGCGACGCCGATGAGCCCGCAGAGACCTCTTACAACCCATTCACCAGGGCCAGAGCCGGTTCTACAGCCCACGCGCAGCCGACATTCCATTCACAGGACATGCCGTACAATCCTTTCGCTTTGCAGACGGTCATCGAGGAAGAACCACCCCGGGAGACGACCAACCCTTTTGCGAGAAGCCCAAGCAGAGAGCCTCAAGAGGACTCAACTAACCCGTTTGCACGTAACACGCCTAGTGCTGCAGACTTCCTCCGTTCCGCCAGCGCTCTAAGCAACCACCAGCCTTCTTCTCCCGAAGAGACGTTTGCTCGGTCTCCGAGTGCTCAAGGATTTCGCCGTGATAGCGTGAGCTCCAACAACCCATTCGCTAGAAGCACGACTCCTGTCGATCGAAGCTTTTCACCGGCCCTAAGTACTCCTGGACGACAACGTGCACCTAGCAACCCGTTCGCTCGGAGCACCACACCGCAGGAGAGCTACCCACTAGCAGAAGAGAGCGACTCCGAAGATGAAGAGGCCATGATGGCGGCAGAGTCCGCGTACAAGAACCTGTTCCCTGTCAACCAGTCGCCCGAGACTGCGAATGATGGCTTCGTGTCCGCCGCTCAGTCAATCGAACGCCGCCAGCCTACGCCGCAGGTCCCTGAGTCGATATACAACAACCCCTTCGCCAGAAGCACTGCATCTGACCAGAGCTTCCTGCCCACCGCAAGTACTTTGGGACAAGCCCAACCAGATGCCTCGTACAACCCATTCGGGGCAAGGAGTAGCACTGTTGGTGGCGATGTCGATGAGTCCATGTTCGACCAAGGTTATCATTCTGCCGTTGGAGGGCACGAGTTTGCGGGTGAAGGTGTGATGGATTCTTCCCAGCAGTTTGTTCAAGACAACAGCGCATTGTCTGCGAGGCACCTTGCTCCGGTCACTTTGGATAGCATCCAAGAGCGATACAATAGTGAACTGGAGGATATGGATTCCGACTCTGAGGAGCCCGAGAGTCTCACCACCTCCCAGCAGCTGCCGGCTTCGCAACAGCGAGCTCCTCCTCCTCTGCCAAGCATTGCAGAGCGGTCCCGTCAAGGGTTCGACGACTCTTCTGAAGAAGAGGAGGACTGGGATGCTCGTGCTCCTCAGCCCAGCCAGATCAATACTTTGTTGACATCTTCACCGTACAGATCGAGCCCCCCTCCCCCTCCCCCTCCCCCTCCGCGTGTTTCTAGTTCCCAGGGCCGCTATGAACAAAAAGTCGAAGACTCATCCGAGGATGACGGCGACATCTTTCACGCACAATCGCCAGCACAGCCAAACCCACTCTCATCATCGCAGTATAGGGCAACTCCTCCACCACCTCCTCCGCCACGCGCGCAAAGTTCACAGGGTCACTACGCTCAACAACCACTGGAAGACTCATCGGAAGAGGAGCAAGCCGACTGGGACGACGCCTTCGAGCCCGCGCAGCCTAGCACATTCCCGACCTCGCAGTTTGGATCTACGCCCCCGAGTCCACCTCCGATTCCACCACCCCGTGCCCCCAGTTCCCTGTCACAGAGCCACTACAACGTTGAGGACTCGGACGAGGAAGACCAAGGTGTCTTGCGCTCTGCCGCTGCCCAATCCAATCTTCTTCCCAGTGCGCTGTCACCGTCTGGATATCGGGCGACTCCGCCGCCACCACCACCGCCGCGTGCCCCCAGCTCTCAAGGCTTCTATCATCAAGAGCAAGCGGACTCAAGTGAGGACGAACACCCCTTCAGCCACGACATTGCTCGACCTGGTCAGTTCCCCATTTCATCATCATCTCAATTCAGGGCCACACCGCCCCCACCCCCGCCTCCGCGGGTATCAAGCTCGCAAGGTCAATACCGCCAGGAGATTGAGGATTCCAGTGACGAACAGGAGGAGGACGCCTGGGCCGTTCGGCCTAGCCAGATACCAAATCTATCGACGTCGCAGTTCAGGGCGACCCCGCCGCTGCCTCCGCCTCCGCGCGCCCCCAGCGCACTGGATCGTTACCGTCAAGAAGTTGAAGACTCCGACAGCGAGGAGAATGAGGAGGCATGGGAAGCTAATCGATATGGCCAGACAACGAGCATGATGGGAGCAAGCAACCTGATGGGGACCAACCTGATGGGGACCAACCAGATGGGAGTCGACTCGACGAGATCAGCAAGCTCGCTGGGCGCGAGTCCGATGAGAGCCGCCAGCCCACTGCAATCGACGAGTCCGTTGTCGATCAACCCGATGAGGGCACCCAGTCCCTTGGCATCGACAAGTCCAATGAGGACGGCCAGCCCACTGGCGCAGAGCAACCCGATGGAGTCAGCATTCAGGGAGTCGGTACCGGCAACAAGCAGTCAGGACCTACAAAGTCATCAAAGAGAAGAAGGCGGGGAAGAAAGCGATGATTCATGGGAGAACATTGGTAAGCGCGGCGGTGACGAGATCAGCCCGGTCGACGAGAGGTTCACCACCGCCATGCCTACACCACAACTGCGCGTCGACAGCTACGAGCAGCAGTGGCCGAACGCGAGCAATGACCAGATTTCCACGGCATCGACGTATCTTCAGCCAGCTGGACCAGGAGACTTTACGGATTCTGATTCACAACAGTACGCCACCCCGTTGGCTTCGGCAGGGTTCAGCGCGTCTTCACAGTATACGCAAGGGGCCCTGGGCTCGCCCCGTCACCCAGATTCCATCGGCAACAAGGATGTCTATGATCAGACGTACAACCGAGGAGGCACTAGCTCTCTCTACGGTCAAGCGCACGAGACTTCGCTCGCCGACGAGCTTGCCCAAGACGACGACTCGGATGATGACAGCGAGTATGACCACTCGGAAGCCCCGGCCTTCCTCACCCAGATAAACACTGCCCAACAACAACAGCAACAGCAGCAGCAGCAATCATCAAACGAACCTGTGCTGACGCAAGTCATTGACTCGTTCGACAGCGATGAAGATGACGGCCCCAAGACCGCGGTCATGCAACCGGATGATCACCCGACGCAGTATGCCTCTTCCCGCTTCGGAGCTTCAACATGGCGGGATGAGCTCCGTTCACCCACCGTGTTCGGCGCGACGAGGCACAGCCGCTCGGGGTCTCTCTTGAGGGAGGAGGTGCAGAAGTCGCTTCATCAAGAGGCCACTGCTGGCTACTCGTCTCCTCTACGGTCCGCTTACGAGCCTGACACTCGCGTTGAGGACTCGTACGGAGGAGAGCAGGTTCAGATGCATAGCCAGGACTTTTACGGACAGCAACCAGTCGAGACTTACGCGCAAGACCCTTATGCCCATCAGCAGTACGGTCAATCGCAGTTTGGACAAGACCAGTTCGAGGCGCAACCTTACGGACAAGCATATCCCCAGCCACCATATGGACAAGCGACTTCGTGGCAGCCCGAGGTACAGGTTTCCGAGGTACAGGCGGAAGAGGAGCATGAGCAGACAACTCCGCAGTTGGCACCACAGCAAAGTGAGCAAGCACCGGACATCAGCCCCTTAGCATTGCGTCAGGAGGAGTCACCGGCGACGCCCTCGTCGTCGCAGGGGACACCCTCTCGTGGACTTGCGTTCAGCAGGCACAATCCTGACCGACCGCAGACTCCGCCTACTATGCAAGCCGAAGGGGATTTTGATCCCGAGCTCATGGTCCCGCGCGATGTGACCAACGTCCCCTGGCACGCCCGGGCCGACTCGGTGCCTCACTCGATGCGAAGCCAGAGCACACTCGACTCTGTCGCGTCATCGCCGATTCATTCGGCGTTGCACGCTGACAAGCACGAGCCGGTGATTCGGGACTCGTGGCCGGCTTCCGTCCATCACCTGAACTTGACGAGGCCACGCAATGACTCTTCGCTCACTGACCGCGAAGAATATGATCCATTCAGAGATGGTGAAGACGCCGCAAAGGCAGCTCGTGGACCCTCGGGTTCCGTGGGCTCTAGTTCAGACAGCCCTCCGCGGAACGCGGCCACGAACAACTCACCTGGAAGTCTGATCAGTAGAATGCGCGGCATCTTCGAGAACAACCAAGCCAAGCAAGAGCCGGCCAGCCCGGTCCGATCACGGCCGGTGTCGGGTGTGTTTCACTCCGTCCGGCGCAGCAAGCCCGGCGGCGGCGGCGACGACGTCGAGGACCGGGGATACGAGCGCAAAGCAGGGTTTCTCAACGAAGCCGAAGACGAGGTTGACGAGCAGAGCGCACTCCTACGAAGCTCTGCTGGCGGGTTGGAGGCAAATTGACCACGCTCGGGCGGAGCGGGGCTCAGAGTCGTGAGGGTGAAGCGGGACGCCGAGTACGATGGGCTAGAAGAGGATGACGAGATGGTCGACCGGCATCGTCCGAAGCGCCGCAAGTATCGGAAAGACCCGAGCGGCTTGCGGGTGCCGGTCCCTTGGAACCCCAAAGAGAAAGAAATCGGCGGCCCCGTGGAGCCCTCTGGCGAGAGCGTGTTTCGTCTGGCGTGGTTGTTTGTCGAGGGGTGGAGACAGAAACTCCGGAAGGCCGGGGATATGGTTGAGAAGACGCGGTGGGAGTGGGAGCTTGACGGGACTGCTACTGCCTGTACGCATAGTCGCGCGTCAAGTTTGACGTTTGGTATTATGATTTCGGACGCTCGTTTGCGCGTGCCGGAGGAGTTGGGAAACAAGAGGAAGCAGAGGAAATCGGTGCATTGGGCGTAGGACACACACGATGGGACATGATATTACGACTAATGGGTTACGGATACGGTTATGGACATGGCTTACGGTTATAGAGGATAATGAAATAATGATTTGACGTTTTGGAACATTTGCTGAACCTTTGGAACACAACGGCGACTTTGTATTTCTTCGTGACTTGCAACTCAACTTCAACTCAACTTCCCCAGGGAAATGCGGTGGTACAAAGTTTGAGAACGCGTCCAGGATCAACGCCCTAACCGTTCCCATCAGAGTCTTTGCCAAGGTCGCAACCGGCAGTTCAAAGTCGTCCTCGGACCATCTTTCTCCCCGCATTCTACATGGTAAAATCGACGATGAGGGAGCGCATCAACACTGTGTGTGACTGAACACACAAAGTGAACAGCTCCGTCAACCCCAATTCTTCTCACATGCCACTTGCAATATTACCTAAGCGACATCCTCGGTCGACTGACTAGCACAAGCATGTTTGTTCACTTACAGATGTTGAGCTCCTGTTGACCTCCCACCCATCAACAAGAGCATCCGTCCAGTCCCCTCCACAGAAGCTTACCTTGCTTTGGACAAGTGACTGGTCCCAATGGAAATGGGGACAACCTGACTTTTGTTAATTAGGATGCATGAAGGGCACAGCACCCATCTCACCTGATGATAACGATAACGTTTCTCACTCTACACCTTTAACCCCAGCGAAAGCCGCAAGCAAGGTACTCGACATGTTTCTACAGCATAATGACTCTGCTGTCGTGGCCACCACTACGGGTTCCTCCCCTCCCTCTGCCGCAGCGGTGCGAACCTTCAAGCGTGCTGCCGTAGCGTGCAAGGCTTGCAATCTGCGCAAGGTAAGATGCATAGTCACGTTATCTGGCCCTCCCTGCGCCAATTGCTCCGTGGACGGGATTACATGCGAGGTCCTGAGTCGTAAACGACGTCGGTGAGTTTCCTCGCTACTGGTTTCTGTGGTAGTATCCATATCCAGCTGTAGCGAGTTGTCCTGACAAAGGCAGCAACTCGGATCAACTCCCCATGAACCCATCCCTAGGCGGAGGTGGGGAGAACACGTTGATCGTCATCCCACAAAGAGCACAACCCAGAAGACGACTCTTGGAACCCCAGACTCCAGGGCCGTCTTCGGGCACGCTAGAAAATGAAGAGGCTGTTGAGTCGCGGGACGACCGCGTCACGTCCGCGCCGCCCGAAGATCACCGGCGCACCGCCAAGGTCAACGGCGGCCCGAGGTCGTCGATGTCCCCACGCGCAGCCGAGACACGATCGGTTGGTGGTGGGCCATCCGCGCCAACCACTCGGCCTTATGATGCCGTGCGGGCTCTGCTTCCTCCCAAAACTCATCGGCCTCCGGATCCATCCCACGCGACTGAGGATAGCTCCGCGTATGCTGAGACGTTGGAAGGTGGTAGGAATCGCGAGGATGGATGTGTCCCGTTCTATCCAGGTAAGACTACCATCCTGGTCCCATGATGCATGAAGCATGGCTTCAAGATAGGTCTCTACTCACACTGAGTCTGTCTAGGAGATCAACGTGGTCCTGCGTTCTTGATCGATATCTGTGAACCCAACAGGTCATCGAAAGACAACCACTTCCTAGTCCCGATGCCGTCAATCAAGGCCCTTTCACCGGAAGATGTCAATTATCTCAGGATGAAAGGCGCTTTCACGCTTCCCCCGCCTCATGTCCGCGAGGCAATGATACGGTGCTACTTCCACTATGTACACCCATTTGCGCCAGTCCTAGATGCAAGCGAGTTCATCACCGAGTATGAGAAGGGTAGGAAAAGCCTGCTGTTGCTCTGGAGCATGTTCATCGCGGCCGCGAGTGTGAGTCACCGAATTGTTTTCCATTCCAGTGCTAGACATAGCTGACTGTCACCACAGTTTGTTGACGACAGCCTCTTGACGGAAGACTTCTTTCCCTCGCGAAGGGCTCTGAAATGGGCCATGTACCAACGAGCCAAGGTAGGTTTCCCCTCCCAATGGTCCGTCGCCAAACACCTAGCTAATGATACCCCCAGGCTTTATACGACGCAGATTATGAGAAAGACAAAGTGACACTCATCCAGTCAGTCTTCCTCATGGGCCACTGGTACAACAGCACAGACGATAGAGCCGGGCCCTGGCACTGGAACGGCATCGCCATCAGCCTCTCCCACACGATCGGCCTTCACCGCCTGCACATGCCCGCAAATCAACAGGCTTCGCAAGGGACCAAGCCATTCTGGAGACGTCTCTGGTGGTCTCTCTACTCCCGCGACGTGTGGCTTTCCCTGGGACTCGGCAGACCGATGCGAATAGCCCTCGATGACTTTGATACGACAATGCCGGTCGCTAGCGATGCCGACGTCCTGGCGCCTGAGGTCAAGGGCCAACTTGGCCGGAAGTATCTTCCTGAAGAGATGCAGTTTCTCTTTGATACCTGGCTGGCCTTTATCGGGTTGAGTGTCGCCCTTAGTAATGTTCTTGCGATGAATTATCGGGCCAAGGGGGTTAAGCCATCACGGATGGAGATTGAGCATAGCGAAAATCAAATCCGAGGATTCCAGTACAGGGTGCCTGAAGCTGGAAGTCACAGTCGAGTCGTCGCGTCGCATATCTACCAGTTCAAGCTTTACTTCGAGTAAGTGCACTGCGCATCAGTCCATGAGATTGAAAGAGGGCAGTCATCTAACACATGTCAGAACATCAATCATCGTGCTTTATCGGCCTTTCATACTTGATACCCCAAGAGAGGTCCCGGCAGCAGACCAAGGAAGCTGGAGAACGTTTGCATGCCAAAAGACGAGGACTGCCGCGTCCAACGCAAGCGCAGCGATGAACTCGATGATGGCAGAAGACCTGATCCGACTATGTCACACAATCACGTATGCACCTTGACCTTTGCAATGATGCAAACCAAATCCGAGTCTCAGGTTCACTAACCATCTTTCCAGAGTCATCGCCCTAGTCCCGCCAATGCAAATCCATCTCTTCGAATCAACCTCGTCAAAACAAATGGCACGCCAGATGGGCAGACACAACCTCGCCCTCTGCATGGTCGCCATGGACGAGATGCGCAAGTCCTACATCTCGGCGGACGCGTCATACAAGCTCTTTGAAACGGCCATCAACAAGGTGGACAACGCGCCGCCTCACGAGCAGCATCAGCCTTCTCCGGCTGCTGCCGCCTTGAGGCCGGATAGGAGCGCGTTCGCAAGCCGGCCTGATGGGTATGGCCTAGGCACCGCGGGCATCATATCGGATATGTGGAGCCCGCTGCCGAACGCATACGCTGATAATGCCTCAATATCGGGAACCCAGTGAGTCTTTGATTGTGCGTATAAACTCGGCCATGGTCTAATACTTTCCGCAGCACCGATTCTTGGCTGGATATCCAGACTATGGACAGGCTATGGACGCTCGACGATTTCAGTCTGCCATGATGCTGCTCAGTCTCTCAGAATAAGCGAGACTCTCACTATTTCAACCGGAAGCATGAGTCAAAATTGCATCATATCCACTACGAATGACACAGGTAGCACCAACTCAGCCTCTCGGGCCAAGAGCTCATCGAACAGACCGAAACTTAGAAGAAGCTTCGTATGCCCTTTCTTGGCCTCTCATCCCGCCGGCCAACGTCATCCAAGGCGTTGGAAATGAGCGACCGGCTTTCGGCCAGATTCGACAAATCCTTAGATCGAAGGACCGATAAGCTCCGGGCTGTGCTACGAAATAGTTGAGGCGCATCGTGTCCGTAGGAAATCCGAGTCCCCGGGCAACGCGTCCGCCCCGAACGGCGCGCCACGACTAAATTTGCCCCACATGTTGCCGAGCCGAGGTACCTCGGCACTTGGGCCCGTTTTGGCGGAAGCACATGCAAGACGGCGGCTCAACAATCTTGAATTGCCCGAGGTATCAAGACGGACTTGAGAGATAGCAAATGTCGTGTGCTATCAGTCCTCAACAGTCGGTAATTACGGATGTCTGCCGAAATGAGTAACTAAAGAATGGAGCGATGGTGAAACAACGTACGATAGTTGCATGTGAGCTTTTGATCCAGTATCGAACTCGACTCGAGGGATAGAATCTAATGGTAAAGCGCTTATCGCATGGTTCGTTGCTTATCATTCATAGTAGCTTCTATGGACTCGGTGATACCTAAATCGAGTCACTTCTACGAACATAGAGACCTGGAATAATCATATTGACGTCTTCGAAGACTCTTCCATGGCGGACAAACTGCCAAACTAGAATACTTGAACAAACCCCAAATGAGTCCTAGTTTTTGCCGAAAAATCTAGAAGCTGCAATCTCTTGAATCCTGATTGGTGCATGTAGAGAATTATAAATATAGCTAGGATAGCGTACGATGCCTTCAACTCTTTGATTTCAACGTCTTTGATTCCCACCAAGGGTAGAATGGCAAAGCGCTCGCATCAAACCCCCCAGAAAACTCTTCCTTTCTCTTCTCCATGAAGCTATTCAACCCTTCCATGTTGTCCTTGGACCCAAAGGAAGTGATGAACATCTTAAGAGTCCAAGTCATGGGTCCCCTCCGGCGTATCAGGGCAATACAGCATCATGTCCCTCATCAACTTAGTACTCGTGATGGATGTATTCTCTGCAATTTCGGTAGCAAGGTCGATGGCATACCTCACAGTTTCCTCGGGAGTAGGTAGCAACTTGGAGAACATCCCACTGACGATGGGATCGGAAGCCGTATAAGTGTTTCCCGTTGTGACAATGTGGTTCGCCTTTGAGAGGCCGACGAGCTTCGGGAGGTAAAAGGCACTGACGGACTCCATCGTTAATCCGCGTCGTGCAAAAGGTAAGTTGATCTTGGCATCTTGCCAAGCGACTCGGATTGCGGCAGACAAGATGGAGGTAGCTCCGAAACCTGCCGCGCCTCCATTGACGGCAACGGTGGTTGGGGACTCACGGGTCTTTCCACTGATTCATCGCATCCGGATTTTGTTTGATCTTCATCAAGCCCTCTGGGCCCCCTGAAAGGTCCATTCCCGCACAAAAGGACTTGCCGGCGCCGGTCAACACGACAGCCCTGACGCGGTCATCATTGTCGATGATATTGAATACAGAGAATAACTCTTCGAGGATGTTCCCGTTGACCGCATTGTGTCTTTGTGGACGGTTGAGAGTCACGACGATGACCTTGGTGACGGCTGGAGCATCGCAGGGTACATGGCTGATGACGATGTCTTGGTAATTCAGTGACGAGTACAAGTCAATAATCTGAGGAAGTGGATTATGAGACATTCTGGTATAACCAATGGGCGTTGTCTTTGATATGAATAGGTAGTTCAAAGTTGCTACACGCAGGTTCCGCGTCGTAGTCGATATTGTTTTCGTGCCTTGATATCCTAGCAGTTCGGCCTAGATCAACACAGCAACATCTTCATTGATATAAACACTTCTACTTATAAATCATTGGATCTGTCTAGCACTATTCCATCGTCCGCTAAGGCCTCGGTACTTGAGGCAACGAGACTGTTGTTATTTCTCAGGCAAGCTCCAGAGCTGGGGTACTCCGCAAGCTTGCGACTGTTCTCAAATTATCCTCATTCGAAGTAAGACAAGCGCTTTGATCCGGTGTACTATCGAGGGATGATTTTTCGTTAATTGCTATAGCAAAAAGTGACTGAGCCAACGTTGAAGTCAAGAGACGGGCTACTCCGTCTGATACCAGCCACTCTGGCGTCCAAAGGCCCACATCCAGCCGAGGGTCACTGTTTTCTCTCACCTCAAACGGGACATCCTTCCGTCAGAATAACTTTGTTGCAGACGCCAGGTATCTTCGATTTGCAATGCGGATCCGACATCTATCTTGAGCGGAATTCCGTTGCTGCCAGGTCTCCATGATGGGAAGCGTTGGCTACGTCCAAGGACTGCGCCGTTCGGGTTGTCAACATGAATGGATGTCGGACGGTGTTCCCAACAACTGGCTCATAGATTACTCAACAAACGTGGGTCACTTGGACGTCTTTGAGAACAGCGAAGAGATGGAGATGCTCAAGATGGAGTTTCACAGCGAGATTATTTAACGGAGTCTGGCTCTGAAAGCGCCGACAGACAGACTTTCTGCAAATCGAAATCAGCGACACCTCAGAACCACTGAAATCACGGAGTCAATTGAAAAAGAGTCTCTAGGAGTGCCTAGAAATCTAGCCGTGGCCAATCGTAGATTATGGCGGCTCTTTGGAACCATATGGTCTCTTACGGACAAATAGCGTTCTCGCTCCTTAGCTTCAGGTCGGTTCTGATAGGACTCGCCCTCGCCAATATCAAAAACTGGCACTTCGTCTGTACTGTAAATGCAAATGATAGCTAGCTCTAGCCCGGCTACCATCAGAGTTCCTGCGACTAACTCTCATTTTGCAGATCCGATTCCTACGCGCCTTCATTAGACGTCTAACAGACTCTGCGCCGCCGAAGCACCTAAGCCCGCGATGCCGAAGAAGAGCAAGAACCGAGGGATTGAAAACAAAGATCCGCAAAAGGCTGTCTTTGCATCGTCAATTGCTAGATACGTCTTCAAGAATGGGAGACGGACGGTGCCTCCGGAGCAGGCCTTGTCCAAATGCGGGTTGCTACCGGAGGACGATGCCGAGTCGGCCGAAGTGGAACGGCTGAGGATGAAATGGCTGCCCGTTGCCCAGCTCAAATCCGGTTGGGATTCCGTGCATGGTCTTTTCGAGCCTGGTGAGCTCGCTCTCGGTAGATACACTGACCTCTGGTGGCGATGAGGCAGATTTTCTCAGCTTCGCAGTCAGATCAATAGGTTTAAACTTCAGGAAAGCCTTAGTTTCAACATGGGCGGCAAAAAGATTCCTCGTAAAAGGTCACTGTAGCGGTGTAATTGCGAACTCTCCCGGAGACATCCATAGTTTGGGTTGTGGCTAATTGTCGATCGAGGAGTTTAATTCATGCAGAGTTTGCTTGGATGTTGTCGCACCTGCAATACCAAAACTCCAATTGGCCCAAAGATGATCCAACGAGTTCACCCACCATGGACATGAGACACCCAAAACTTCTCTACCAGGCCCGCGGGAGTTGGGAGCTTGGGTCCAAAGGCGGGCGGTGAATTGTGCTCACATCCCACTTCCTGGCTGCATGGAACTAGCTTCGTGTACGTGTCAGCGCGCCGGATCCTTTCCTGATCTGCGCCGCTGCAGTCCTAAACTCTTGTGCTTCAAGTTCGTACACTGACACGCCAAGAAGGCATTTCCCTGCGTCATTGTGTCTCTGTTCCCCGCAAACAGGCAAGCGAGAACGAACTTACGAGAGGGAATTCATCGTTGCGCGGCGTTATGTTGGCAGTTTGTGGCATTTACGATGAGTCGTTTGTTGACAGATCGAAACTTTCCTCATCTACATTACCCGTACGACGGCCTACGGCTCTCAACGGAAGCCTCACTGGACTCCGAGAGGACTCCATTATCGACGGCGGACGGCGACATGACCGCCGTTCGAACCCGTTGATTACCTTGATCCGGGGTGGGAGGACAAAGGGTTCGGTTTGGCCGACGGAGCGGCATGGGGCAACTCGACGGCCGGCAGCTGGGCTGTGAAAATTCGCCGTGATGACGGCAGTTGTCCATCGCTGCGCCGTAGATGCACGTAGGCGACGGATCTCGGGACTAAACCCCTGGCGGCCTTAGTTTTAGGATCCAACGGGTTGGGACTCTGGGAGGCCTTGGCACGCGGGTGGGTGCCGGTGGGCGGGCATGTTGGTTTCTGGTCAGATTCGAAATGGGAATGGTCTCATGAGTCGGCCCCCTCGGCACCGATCCTATGAGATTCATCTAATCATTAAACGGAGCATTTCAGCAATGAAACACTCTGCAAAAAATGATATGGACCAAGATCGCGGGATGAGGATACCAAATCCGACTCGTTGCATGGGAGTGACAAGAACCCCCTGGCTTCACCGCCCACCAACAAATGCAACACTCCAAAGGCCCCTCCTCGAGTCTCGACTCGTTAGCGAGTAGTCACTGCTTACTTTGCTGGCATTCCATAGGGCAGAGAACGCTTAAGCAAGTCGGCGCGGAATTGGACTGGCGCCGAATGCCATGTTTCACTAGAGACGGGGACGGACGGGATGGCCGAGCTGGGCTACGAAGCTGGCACGAATCCGCACGATTGCGTTCATCTTGACCATTGAGATGGCCGGGATTGGCCCACCTGTCGCTCACCTCGCCGTGAGGAAAAAAAGTGGGAAGATGGGAAATCTTTTTTCGGGCATGATATCAGCGTTCATCCTCCTGCTCCACGCATGATGATGGGACCGAGGCATAACGCCTGACAAGCTCAGAGAATAGCCACATATATGAATGGGGGGGGGGGGGGGGGGGGGGGGGCTCAGGCGATTTTCGAATTTGAATATTATCAGGCCGATATCCCCTCCTGTTGCTGGGCTTTGTCTCATCACATAAGAAGTGCATTCAGATCTCACAGGTGACTGACCACATCAACAACACCCGAGGACCATACCATACCCTCGACACATACAACAACAACAACAACACACGTATACGAACACACTCCACATTGCACACACATACACACAGCATGTCGGAAACAGTACCGATCCCAGAGCCCTCTGGGCTGCCGTTTCTCGGCAACATCAACGAGATCGACCCTGAATTTCCCCTGGGATCCATGATCTCGCTTGCGGACCAGTATGGTAAGAGAAGACCCCTGACTCATGCGAGCCAGACCCCCCTTCCCCCCCCCCCCCCCCCTTATCTTGTCGACGACACGCAGCTGACAGTGACATGTGCGCCTGAAGGTGAAATTTACCGATTGAGATTTCCAGGACGTTCAGTTGTCCTGGTCTCGACACGGGAGCTGGTGAACGAGACTTGCGATGAGAAGCGTTTCAAGAAGTCCGTGAATCAGGCATTAAGTGTGAGTTTATTAAGCCGAACTGCGCTCATTTTAGCAGTCTGTATGTGTACATGGAAGTCATACTCATTCCCAAGTAGCAAGTCAGAGCAGGCGTCCACGATGGACTTTTCACAGCGAGGATGGGCGAGGAGAGCTGGGGTATCGCTCACCGCGTTCTCATGCCCGCCTTCGGTCCCCTTTCGATTCGCAACATGTACGACGAAATGCACGATATCGCCAGCCAGCTGGCATTGAAATGGGCGCGTTACGGCCCTGAATCGGCAATCATAGTGACGGACGACTTCACGCGGTTGACGCTCGACACATTGGCTTTGTGCTCAATGGGATACCGGTTCAACAGCTACTACTCGGCCGTTCTCCACCCCTTTATCGAGGCCATGGGCGACTTTTTGACCGAGGCCGGCAACAGGTCGCGTCGTCTGCCGCTACCCTCCATGTTCTACAGCGCAAAGGACCAAAAGTTCCAGCAGGACATCGACACCCTCAGAACCACAGCCAGAGAGGTTCTCGAGTCAAGAAAGGACGGGAAGAGCAATCGCCGGGATTTGCTCACGGCCATGCTGGAGGGAGTCGACACGAAGACGGGGAAGAAGATGACGGACGAGAGTATCATGGACAACTTGATCACATTCCTCATCGCCGGTCACGAAACGACGTCAGGACTCTTGTCCTTCGCTTTCTACCAACTGCTGAAGCACCCCGAGGCGTACCGCAAGGCCCAGCAGGAGGTCGACGATGTTGTCGGAAAGGGACAGATCAAGGTCGACCACTTGTCCAAGCTGCCCTACATCAACGGTGTTCTCCGCGAGACTCTGCGTGTCAACGCAACGATCCCGGTCTTCACCGTCGAGGCCTTTGAGGATACCGTGATTGGTGGCAAGTACGCTGTGGGCGCTGGTGAGACCATCATGAACCTCCTCGCCAAGTCCCAGCTCGACCCCGCTGTCTTTGGCGAGGACGCCAACGAATTCAAGCCCGAGCGCATGATGGATGAGAACTTCAACCGCATCACCAAGGAATTCCCCAACTGCTGGAAGCCATTCGGTAACGGCATGAGAGGTTGCATCGGTCGCCCCTTTGCCTGGCAAGAGGCTCTTTTGGTCATGGTCATGCTTCTCCAGAACTTCAACTTTGTGCTGGACCCCAACTACCACTTTGGTATCAAGCAGACCCTCACCATCAAGCCCAAGGATATGCACATGCGCGCTATCCTCCGCGACAACCTCACACCGACGACCCTGGAGCGTCGCCTGGCCGGTCTCGCTGAGCCCGAGAAGCAGGCCGAGCAGGCCAAGGCCAGCGGTGCTGCTGCCGGGGGCGAGACTGGAATGCCGCTGACGATCCTCTACGGATCCAACAGCGGAACCTGCGAGGCTTTGGCGCAGCGCGTCGCCTCCGATGCCGCCTCCCACGGCTTCCGCGCGACAAAGATCGACTGCCTGGACAGCGCCAACGGCAGTCTGCCCACCGACCAGCCCGTCGTTATCATCACGGCATCGTACGAGGGCCAACCTCCCGACAACGCTGGTCACTTTGTGGCTTGGATCGAGGGACAGGACAAGGCCAAGGCGCCCCTCAAGGACGTCAACTATGCCGTCTTTGGCTGCGGTCACAAGGATTGGGTCCAGACTTTCCACCGCGTTCCCATGTTGGTCGACACCACTCTCGAGCAGCTTGGTGCGACTCGCCTGGCCGAAGTCGGTCTGACGGATGTTTCGAGCGGCGAGGTCTTCACTAACTTTGAGTCATGGGAGGACGATATTCTTTGGCCCTCTTTGACCAACAAGTACAAGACGACCTCTGCAGAGGACACCAAGACCAAGGGCGTCGGCGTTGTCATCAGCAACCCCAGAACCTCGATCCTGCGCCAGGACGTCAAGGAGGCTACCGTCACCAAGACTGCGACGCTTACCAAGGGCAGCGACTCTAAGAGCATCAAGAAGCACGTCGAGATCAAGCTTCCCGAGGACATGATGTACACTGCGGGCGACTACCTTGCCGTTCTGCCCATCAACCCCAAGGAGACTGTCCACCGCGCGATGCGTCGTTTCCACATCGCCCGTGATGCCCACCTTAGCATCAAGACTGACGGCCCTACGTCCCTCCCGGTCGATACCTCCGTGCCCGCCAACGACCTCTTGAGCTCTTATGTCGAGCTTTCGCAACCGGCTACGAGAAGAGTAAGCATCAACCTTTCTACTTACCTTGACCATTGATACTAACAATCTTGCAGAACCTCCTTGCTCTCGCAGAGCATGCCAAGGATGAGACGACCAAGACTGAACTGAACCGTCTGTCCGGCGACGCCTACGCCGACGAAGTCAGCGGCAAGCGCGTCTCCGTCCTCGATCTCCTCGAGCGCCACCCCTCAATCGACCTCCCGATTGGCGTCTTCCTGTCCATGATGCCGCCGATGCGCATCAGACAGTACTCCATCTCCTCCTCGCCCATGGCGTACCCCAACAACGTCACCCTGACCTTCTCCGTCCTCAACGAGCCTTCGCTCTCAGGCCAGGGCCCCTACATCGGCGTCGCCTCCTCTTACCTCGACTCCCTCGCCGAGGGCGACAGCCTCCACATCGCCATCCGCCCCTCCCACGCCGCCTTCAGCCTCCCCTCTGACGCCGAGCACACGCCCATGGTCTGCGTTGCCGCCGGCACCGGTCTCGCTCCCTTCCGCGGCTTCATCCAGGAGCGCGCCACTATGCTCGCAGCAGGCCGCACCCTCGCGCCTGCGCTGCTCTTCTTCGGATGCCGCTCCCCCGAGCAGGACGATCTGTACCGTGACGAGTTTGACAAGTGGGAAGAGATGGGTGCCGTCTCTGTCCGTCGCGCTTACAGCCGGGAGTGCGATAAGAGCGAGGGGTGCAAGCACGTGCAGGACCGCATATGGCAGGATCGCGAGGAGCTCGTTGACCTGTGGAAGAAGGGTGCCAAGGCGTACGTTTGTGGCTCGCGCGGTGTGGCTGAGTCTGCCAAGGAGACTATGCTCAAGATCAAGGTTGAGATGGAGAAGGCCAAGGGTGAGGAGACGGACGAGGAGAGCGTCAAGGAATGGTTTGAGGCGCTGAGGAACATCCGCTACGTGACGGATGTGTTTGATTAGATGGCTGGAAAAGTCAATGGCTTTTGGGATTTCATTACTTCGTCATATCATAGAAGGGGATAGGAGTTGGAGGGCATTTGTCACAAGCATGTAATACCAGGTGGAACAAGTAAATCGATTACCTTGAATTCGAGATTCAGCATCCCTTTGACGGACATGTGCCTCCTCTACGCCGATCAGGTCTGAGACCGGGACACTTACGTAAACCCTCTTGATCTGGCACTTACCGAACAGTAGATGGAATCGCAAACTCGTTCGGCCTTGACTAGAAGCGAAAGCTTCAGACGCCAGACCGCTTGGGGCACCGGCTCCTCTCTGTTCACTGGCGGGACGGAGCTCGCGCTCCACTTCCTCCGACGGACACTCCAATGGAAACACTTTGACTTCGGCCAACGAACTCAAAACACGTGCCGGAAATCCGGACGCGGGAGGGTAGACCAGTGTTGCCGATGCGATTCGGCGCGACTGAAGAACGTTAACATGTGGCCCGTCGGGGGGGGGGGTCTTTGGCTCTCCGCAAGTGCCGATGCCGTCCCGCATGTTTCCCGAGTTCCTGGACTAGGGAGCCCCCTTTATAGATCTCAACGGCAGTCCTTGGCGTGAGGAACATGGTTCTTTGCGACGGTACTCTAGCCTGAATCGGGTATTCGAGTCCGGCACTATATTTGACGTCACTCTAGTTTGCTACGGTTGATTGAGATGTCTCCATGTTGCACTGCAGTCCTAGTGGTTTGGAAGCTCCACAAGCTTCGAGGAAGGTTTTATTATTATTTTATCAACTGCAGTGGCGCGAGTACGAGTTGCTGAGAATAACCGACAGCATGTTCTCGTCAACCTCTATGCCCCCCCCCCCCCCCCCCCCCCCCAGATGGACCCAAACCTTCCCTCTGCATTGTCTAGCATGAAGCTATGGCCAATATCTAGAGCTTCCCCGCACGATAAACATTGAATTACCGAGGCATCTGGGAGATCTCGAACGAGTCAGTAGCTCAGACGAAACGTTGTTGTCTCCCATATTGCAAGGTAGCGCTACATCGTGGGTTCCTAAGAAGAATCTGGAGCAGGGTCTGGACTTGATCGCATTGGGCATCTTCAGTGTCTTCCCGGAGTTCAAGAAGCTACCATACTATGTCAAAGTCCATTTGGAGTCCATTTGGATAGCAATCGATACCCAAGCGAAGCCGCGAGCTGAGCTTAACGTGGATCATATTCATACCGCCAGCGAAGGCAGCCAAAATCGGGGACAAGCTTGGCCATAACGTAGCTTGGACGATAAAACCGGCTCCCATAGTGCTCAATTCAGGTGCATGTGCCATACCAGAACTTGATCTGTTGGGAATAAATCCACGGTGATTTCCATTGTCTCATATTCGGACAACCACGCACTTGGGAAGAGCCGTGGCCTGTCATCTCCTCGTTCTCTCTTCCGACATTTGAGAACAACTCAAGAGTCGGTACGTCACATCTCGGCGCCGAATTATTGAAGCTTGATGCGAAGACGGTACCGAAAATATCATTCCTATCGGTTGCTTGACCCTGCCGCTGACGCTTCTAAGCGGCCGAAACGGAAAGTTTGACCTAACCTCCGACCGAGGCAGCCCGCTGGCGGAACTCTGTAACAATCACAAATACGTGGTGTCCAGGACACTGGAGAGCTCATCCCAACAGATAGACTCTCGCGGGTTTAAAGTCTCTTTGTTATCTCCCCCTCATAAGGCTTAGAAATACCACGATTCGTCACGTGTCGTCTTAACTTTCAGGCCGCAACCGAGGGACTGGAAACAGTATATGAGTGCGCTTTGGTCTCGTCGATTTTGGGGTTTGGAGGGGTTTGGCGTGGTGCGTCTATGTAGCCATGCCGTATCCTTATTTATCATCGTCGACGAAAATAACAATGGCTACAACTACCGTACAAGTCACGGAACCGAGGACTCTCTCCGTCTGTGGACAGCGGACTTTCCCGTTCATCATTGACGAGAGGGCTGCGTACGAGCCTAATCGGACGTGTTTCTCAACGCCATACACGTCGGAGCCTCGAGATGGGTGGAGAGTTGTCACCTATAGAGATTTTGCGAATGCTATCAACTGCATTACGCACTTCCTCCTGGACACCTGCGGGGTCCCTGCCCCAAACACATTTCCTACCATTGCCTATATGGGTCCGAATGATGCCAGATACTGTGTGGGTTGACCAGCAAGAGCTCCCTCGTGACGTGGAACTCCCGACTGACACAATACTAGATCATGACCGTCGCCTGCATCAAGGCAGGATACAAGGTCAGCTACCCTCTGGCTGGTTTCTTTGGATAGCAAAGCCACTGACTTGTAACTCAATAGGCCCTCTTCGTATCTCCTAGAAACCCTCTCGAAGCGCAGCTGAACCTGTTCAAGCTATCCGACTGCCGGTTGGTGGTGCGTCCGCCATCACACCAGTCTGCTGTCGACTTCTGGGTAAAACATTGGGACATGAAGCAAATCGAGATCGAGCCTCTGCATGACATCCTTTCCAAACCTCAAGTTCCAAACGTACCATATACAAAAACTGCAGCGGAGGCAGAATGGGATCCTTTCCTTGTCCTCCACACCAGCGGTAGCACAGGTCTTCCCAAGCCGATTGTCATCAAACATGGCTCTATCGCCTTGATGGATGCGCAGCACGAGTTTCCGGAGTGGAATGGCACAATTCCTATTGCACGGGCCATGGGGTCATTGGCAGATACACATTTCAGTCCCAGTGAGCATTATGAGTTGAAGTTCCTAACTTGGTTGATAGTAGCTGACGTGCCCAGTGCCATTATTCCATGCTGGTGGCGTCTATGGGTTCATTGGGAATGCGGTTCTCAGCAACAAGCCCATCATCTTCACGTTCCCTGACCGTCCACTTAGCCCTGATCTTACGATTGAGATTCTCAAGGCTACAGGCGCGAAAAGTGCGGCACTACCTCCATCCCTTCTGGAGGAGATGGTCCACCGTCCCGATCAAATCGAGGTACTGAAGCGGCTCAACTTTGTTGGTTTCGGAGGCGGTACGTTTTCCCCGAAAAGATGATGCATGAAGGCCGAGAACTAATGAGACCCCAGGTCCTCTCAACAAGGAAGCCGGTGATATTCTCCACAGGAATGGTGTTAAATTGCTCAACATCATTGGTGCCACTGAGTAAGTTAGTTCCCTCTACCTCTCAAATAGGACCGACAGCATGCTGAGACTGCTAGGACTCTACCGTTCTGCATCTATCACCAGAAGAATACAGCGCTGTGGCAGTATTTCATCTACAACGAGGAGCTCTCTGGCGTCGAGTTCCGAAAGGCCACGTCCGACGAGGATGTTTACGAGGTGGTGATCACCAGGAAATCGAAACAGATTCCGATCCAGGGCATCTTCTACACGTTCCCCGATAGAGAGGAGTACGCGACGAGCGACTTGTACAAGCCTCACCCGACGCTGCCGCACCACTGGAAATTCTACGGTCGAGCCGACAACATCATCAATCTTTCCAATGGAGAGAAGCTCAACCCCGTGAGAATGGAAGACATCATTGCTGGGAACCCGGCGGTCAAGGCTGCTCTCATCGTGGGAGCCCAGAAATTCCAGCCCGCTTTGATCGTGGAGCCGTTTGTGCAGCCCAAGACGAACGAGGAGATTGACGATTTGATTGACCGCATCATGCCGCAAGTTGCCGAGGCTAACGAGACCATTGGTAAGCCCTCCACCACACACCCAAACTAACGTCACTTTGATCCATCATTGGAGAAGATGTAGCGCTGACCCGGGAATAAAAAGCAACGCACGGTCGGATTGTTCGGCACTTGATCACCGTGTCCAATCCGGAGAAGCCGTTCCTCATGGCAGACAAGGGCACCCTCAAGAGATCGGCGACAGTCAAGCTTTATGCCGATGAGATTGAGGAGCTCTACGCTAATCCTAGAGAGGTGCCCCTGTCCAAGGTGCCGCGGCTCGATCTGAGCTCCCAGGCTGCGCTCAGCAAGTCCATTGAGAATCTCCTCCGCAAGCACCTCGGCGTTCCTCACTTGGAGTCCGACACTGATTTCTTCGCGGCTGGCATGGACTCGTTGCAAATCATTGCTGCTGCACGTTTCATCACTGCTAGTCTGCGCGCTACCGATAAGCACTACAGTGACACGACTATTGAGGCTCGCGATATGTATACTCACGTTAGTACCCACCAGCTCGCTGGTCACATCTTGCAATCCGGCCAGGGCAAGGCCAATGGTGGTGCTACGAGCGAGAGTGAGAATCACCAAGCAATTGACAGGCTATATCAGAAGATTCGACAGAACCTGGTTCACGCCAAACCTGGGCGCCCTGAGCCAGCGAAAGAGCAGCAGACTGTCATTCTCACCGGATCAACCGGAAACATGGGATGTTACTTGCTCGATGAGTTGATCCGCAACCCGCACGTTAAGAGAGTCATTTGCTTCAACAGATCAAACGACGGTGGTGCCGGAAAGCAGGCCAACGCCATGAAGGAACGCGAGCTAGCCCGCCCAGAAGAAAGCGGCAAGGTCGAGTTCTTCCACACCAATCTGTCGCAACCCAACATGGGATTATCGCAGGAAGTCTACTCTCGTCTACTCAAAGAGGCGGACCGTATCGTTCACAACGCTTGGGCGGTCAACTTCAACATGCCTCTTGATGCGTTTGAGCCACACATCAAGGGATGCCGCAACTTGGCCGACTTTGCTGCCACGGCGGATAAGCGTGTCGTGCTGGTATTCGTGTCAACCATCGGTACCACCAGCGAGTGGGATGCAAGCCGCGGCCCCGTACCGGAGAAATCCCTGCGGGAATACGGAATCTCGGGTCTCGGATACGGCCAGAGCAAGCTCATCTCGAGCATGGTACTTGAAGATGCGGCCAAGGTCGGAGACTTCCCGCTGGCCATCGTTCGTGTTGGTCAGATCGCTGGGCCTCTTGCCGATGGCGGCGCTTGGAGTCGCCAAGAGTGGCTGCCCTCCATCATCGCGAGTAGTCTTGTTCTCAAGGCGTTACCGAGGCACCTATCTGGCATGAATACGACCGCCTGGGTCCCGGTTGAGACGATGTCGAGAATGATTCTGGATATTGGCGGTCTGACTGAGGAGTCGAAAGACTACCACGAAGGGTACTTCCACGGCAGCAACCCATCCATCACAACATTTGACAAGCTGGTCCCTGCTATTCAGCAGTACTACGGAAGGAATCAACTTCCTGACCTCATCACCTTCAAGAAATGGGTCGAGAGACTGGAGGCGAGCCGCAAGGCGCCGGGAGCACTTGGCGCCGATCGGAATCCTGGCTTGAAGCTGGTCGACTTCTATCGAGGCGCTGCTTCTGCGGGAGAGAATATATCGAACTCTAGGACGTATGAGACTACGAGAACGGTGGCTTGCAGTCCTGCGCTGCGCTCTGTTGGACCTGTGACGCCGGAGTTGATGGCTCATTGGTGCAGACAGTGGAAGTTTGAGAGCCCCTCGGCTCGCGTCGGTCGTTTGTAGAGGTCTAGATTTTGCATTAGAGTGTACTTAACAGATTGAAAGCCTGTTGCAATGAAGCCATTAAATTCACAATTCATTCAACTCTGGTGGAACAAATGGCCGCAATATACAGCGCCATAAGGCTTGCAAGTGCAAATACCTAAGTAATACTCAGCGATGCGGAGATGATGTCACTCGAAGTCAAGTCGAAACAATACTACGCGTAGTTTTAGTGGGAATGGGCAACCGAACAAGGAATTATTAGGTAACCAATAATGATGATTAGCATAAATGTTATTTCTTATCTATGATGCTCCTTCTTTCCGACAGTCATGAACATGCTCGGACCGCTACGCCACTCAATTTCCCACGAATGACCCAACAAACAAACGATTAAACAAACAATCGATTACAATCTTTGCAAAGTTTCTGTGCCGTATGATGACATAGTACCCCTTACATCTTAAGCTTACGCAGGCCAGAGTCGGTCTGGGGGTAAGGAGCCTTCTTCGAGTACGTCTGCCACTGGTTACACATATCATCCATATCCTGAACCCTGAGAGTATCCGTGATCTTATCAGTCTGTTCCAGGAACTGCACCGACAAACCCTGGCTGACGTGCCACGCAATGTGGCAATGGAAGAGCCATGCGCCGGGGTTGTCTGTCTTGAAGGCCACGACGAGCCAGCCTCGGCCGGGCAAGGTGGTCACGTCGCGCCTGGTGGGGTTCTTGAAGTTGAGCTTGGAGACGTCGGTCTGCGCGTTGAAGCGGACACCGTCACCGCGGCCGCTGGAGGCGGGCTCGGAATGGCCTAGGATGTAGAAGTCGTGGCCGTGGAGATGCATGGGGTGAGGGGCGGGGAACAAGTTCTCGACGACCCAGAATGCCCACTGCGATGTATGTTAGATGATGGTCTTCGTTCTGAGTGATAAGGGTAAACTTACAGCGTTGTCCGCAGGAACCTCAAAGACGTTGTAGTTATCGGGGTAGTCAGTGCTGTTCTTGGCGAGGTAAGACAGCGTCGGCTGGTCCCAGTTGATGTCCATGTTCTGGCCGTTGACCTTCCAGAAAACCTGTTGACTGCCAGTAGTCCTACTCGTGTCGACGGTGATATCAAGAGTATCATCCTGAGTCTTGGAGAAGGACGTGGAGTTGACGTCGACGCTAAAGATGGGCTCAAAGTCCGTCTTGTCCTGGCACTGGGCATCGGTGGGCGCCTTGCCGGCATCCTTGGGCATGAGGCTGTTTGACGCACCCTCGTACTGGAAGATGGCAGCGGGCTTGTTCATGTTGGACGTGCCGCAGAGTCTGTTGGACGGGAAGGAGACGTTGAACCAGTATGCCTTGCTGGCGTCTTGGTCGGCGTCGATGATGATATCGTAGCGCTGGCCGACGGTCAAGTAGAGCGAGTCCGTTTCAAAGGGCTTGACGGGCACGAAGTCGGTTCCCGTCACCGTCATCTTGTGGCCGACGAGGTTCACCGAGAAGGTGTTGTCCACGGACATGTTGACGAGACGGATCTTGTGGGACTTGCCCTTCTTGAGCGTTACACGGGAGTAGTTGCCACCTCCGTTCTTGTTGATGTTGGTGCCGTTGAAGAGGATGTTGTCGCTGGCGGGGACGGCAGCAGGGGCAGTGAAGGTGGAACGGATCTCATCAGCGGACTTGTAGTACCAATCCGTGATGGAGTAGGTACCGAGATCCTCATCGTAGTTCTTGGATGTAGGTCCGTCGATCTGGATTGTACCGGCAATACCGTTCGCGTACTGGTCGGAGAAATGCGAGTGGTACCATGATGAGCCATACTGCTCTGCACGCCACTCGTACGTCTTGCTGGCTCCTGGTGGAATGGGGCACTCGGTGATGCCGTTAACACCATCGTTTTGGTTGTTGTTCAGCATTCGCAGGCCGTGCCAATGCATTGAGGTACTGCGGGGGTGTCAACGAGTCAATATTTTGAGAGATGGTTGCGCTGTCGTTACTCACCCGTTCGACCTGAGGTTATTCACAACTCTGACCTTGATCTTGTCGCCCCAGTTTGCCTTGATGTTCGGGCCCGGGAAGCCACCATTGATCAACATCGCAGTGTTCTTGGTCATGCCATCCAGACCTTGGAATGTTGTATGCTCCGTGAGAACCAAATCATACTGCCCAGCTTGTTAGCATTAAGATAGTCTCGGGGCATACAGGCCAACCAACCTCTCTAGTCACCCCAGTATCCGGGGTCGACTCCTCGTAAGCAGTCTTGATGTCAAATCCTTCAACCCAGCACTGTCTGTTGTCGGCAGTGTTGCAAGACTTCGGGCCTTGGTCAGAGTCTGCCGGGGTTGACGAACCAGGCTGCGCGTTGTCCTGTCTCCTCGAGACACCAGTGTTGGACGACGGCGAGGGGGCGGCTGCCGCTAGGCCATAGAGGAAGAAGAGCACGCTCCTGGAGAGTGTCGATCTCATCTTGACAATCTCTGGCTAATGCGTATGCCGAGGGCTGTGAGAGTGTCTAATTGAATGACCCTAAAGTGGGAGTCAGCAAACACGAATTCCATTATAAGAACCAGCACTCTATGTAGGAGTAACTTACCTAGTCCACCCAGTATTAATCTCTCTGTCACAACCTTGTTCGTTCGGTGTAGCGAAAGAAGAAACAGCTTCCAGAAATTCCAACTCTTCAACGGTCGACCCAACCTTTAGATAAGGTGGGAAACCTGCGCTGGGATATTGGCCACCGCGCGATTAACCTCAAAAAAGAGCACGGTGCTGTCGTTCGGGGATGAACCGTGATCTAGCCTTTTCGGTCGAGCGTTGCGAAACGAGGAACTGTTGGAGTTTGCGCCGCGGAAGGGATGTATCTTGTTTCTAGACACCCATGTCCCAACCAGTGGGCTTTATACCAAGGCGGGCGGCACCAAGACGGCGGGATAGTTTCAATATCTTCGGGCTGAGAGGGAAGGCAAAAGAGATGAGATGATGTTTGGAACAGTCTGAGTGGGAGTGAGCGTGTGTGGTTGCGTGCTGCGGTTGGCTTGTGTGTGTGTGTGTGTGTCGTTCTGACAGTCGGTCCCGGGTACTAAGCGGTCTTGGGTCCATGGCCGTCTAGGTGGGCGGTTATCACGAGTGTCAGACAAGCCCGAGTGGGTAACTTTGTACGTATGTTCGCTTCTACCCGGCCGCCGGAACCAAGGTCCGCTCTCCTAGTGCTGAGTACAGGCATGCGAGGGGAGCAGTTCAGACTGAGGTGGGCTGCAAGGCGAGAGGTAATCTCAAGGGAGGCATGGGGGCAGGATGGACGGCCGCCACCATGCAGCTCTCGGGCGGCTTTCGGGTTCGTATGACTTCCCGTTGTAACCAAGGGTATATCGGCATCACAGAAGAGACAGGCGCGTCTGCTGAGACGGAGGAGTCCCCTTTGGGGGGCTGCATGATGATTCATCAGGAACTTGAAAGCCACATCCTCCCTTCGTCAGCCTGCGCGTCTGTAAGCGCCGTTGGATGTTTCGCGACATCGCCTCTTCCATCGTCAAATCATGCGGCTCAAAGTTGAATCCTGTATGATATTCCTTAGCCGGTTGATCCTACGGTTCCTACCCCGGGATTTCCAAAGTAGAAAAAGTCGCCACGGCCTAGAGCCCGTCTTCCCGTGTGGCGATCCTGTACTCTGTCCAAGCATCTTCATGTGCTTCTCCAGCCATAGTGTCGATTCGTTGACGCAGCGGTCGTCTTCGGCCGTGTCTTGGCCCTGCGCGAGCAAAGCGTATCTTGCGTTTGGCAGCAAAAAGGTCTGAGCAGTGTGGCTATACCATGTATCAAAAAGTCCATCACCTTTTCAAAAAGTCGAACGCTCGGCCACCGGCAAGCGGCAACCTGCATCTGTCGCCCGCTTTGTCCTCTCACTAACTCACTGTTCTGCTCTGGTTTCCTTCCCCCACGAACATGTCACCTCTGGAAAAAAGGCTGAAGCTCGAAGCTAGGCACAGTGCCCTCCACCATCGGCCGGTGCATGTGGCGCGGTTGACGGTCTTGAAAGATGGCCGTGCGGTTGTATGAGAAGGACAGCTTACAGCAGGAGGTAAGAGGATCGAAAACTTTGAAGGATTTCATCTTCTGCCCGAGGATCGAACCAAAACGTCCAAAACGACTTTGTTCGATGGACGGGTAAGTGATTCCTTTTTCCCTCGCCACATTGCTCTCATCTTACTCGTCCCGAGGACTCAGCCAAGAGATGTGCGGGTGTCAAATTTGACGTGAACCGTGTCGCCGGCACACGAAAGACGAGCGTTGCAAACATTCCGAATTGTCCCGTCGCCGTTTTTTGAGTGAAGCGTTTGCCTGTGGCTGGCGGGAGTAAACAAGTGAGATTTTCAGGTCAAGCCAAAGCTGTAGCCTAGATGCGCGCGCCTATGGGATGGCGAGCCGCCAAGTCGGCGAAGAGGAGGCTCAAGTTTGACTTAACGACCTTGTAACACATAATCCACGCTTGCACCTTTATAAGGTCGGCGAGCGGCTGTCTTTTGAGTCCGACGAACCTGGTCAAATGCTGGCCCAAGGTGGATCAGAAACATGAGATGAACCAATTCGTAAGGGCTGGAAGACGGTCAGTGGTAGTGCAAAAACCAACGCAAAAGGTTTTGAGGAAATCATGGTTCAATCGTGCTCTGAGGCTCTCAGCTCGGCAGTTTTACACATGGTCAAATTTGTCCAAGCATGGTCAGTGATGGCCTCATCTTTGAATCTCCCTTAAGAAGAGAAAGAGAGGTCTGTCCCGTCGAAATAGTCCACGATGCACAGTATAAAGAGATTGCAAGTCCACATTCAGGTCCAAAGAACCAAAAGACAAAAGAATCAAAATGAAAGATAGCACAACCTGGTTTCGATCCAGGGACCTCTGGGTTATGAGCCCAGCGCTCTACCCCTGAGCTATTGTGCTTGATGATGAGTATTGATTGATGAGGAGAGCAGAATCGCAAGCTGTTCATTAAGGCTTTCAATTTGTGGATCGTCTCCGTGACTCACGATGTCTACAGTTTTGTGTGCCGGTGGGTGCCGCTTGTGGGTCGTTGGTAAGTGCACGATTTTGCTTTGGAGCTAGAGGGGGATTGGTCTCAACTCGGGTGAAGCCACCAGTGAGAGTCGACTGGCGTATGTGTGAAGAGAAAGGTCTGCCAATCCGCCCATCATTTCTGCCCTTGCTCAGAGTGCATGGCCTAAAGGCATCGCTGCGCTGCCCAGGAAGAAAAGGATTCAAGTCAGGATCGCACTACGCATTTTTGCTGCTCCATGTGATCATCCGAGTGAGGGCAAAAACAGATTCTCCGACCGGCTCCGTAAGCTCCGTAAGCGGGTCCTGCTCTCGGGGGTGTGGGTTCCCCTGATCCGTGCAATCGTCGGGTCTCCGGTGGTTATCCCGTTGCTGACAGGCTCTGACAATACGATCGTGCCATTGGATGACGCTTCGAGTCGGCCACCGAATCAGAAATCTCTCATGATCTCAATGTGGCGACAAATGCAGTGATTCGATTGGTGCGACATGTGCCTCGAGAGTAAGGAGATTGTTATGTACGTTGACAGATGATGAAACGAAGTTCTAGTGTCAAAAGACACGATGAGTTTCGACTGTCAACTATGTCGCAGAAGTTGGGTGGAGTGAGATGAAATGTGTGTAACAGCCGTGAAGGGTGGCATAATTGAATGGGATTAGCCGTATCGCGGCATTTACGCTGGCAATACTCCGACAGGATGGTTGAACCGACAAACGAAGATGAAATCACACGGTCTAGATCTTTGCGCCGCAACAATTTCTTCAGAGCGCTAGTCTATCAATGAAATTCTAGACTTCCTGAACTCGAGTACTTTCAGTTGACTCGTCAAGGCTTCTCATGGCCATGTTTTTTTTTATCTCATTCGCACACAAAGACCGCTCATATGTATCCATCAAATATCCCAATTAAAACGCCGTGCCTCTGGTGACAGCAACGTGTGTCCCAGGGCGTGTATGCCAAAGAAGTCCCATCTCATTTCGTACCCGTCGTAACATGACAATCTGAAAGGGCGTATCTACCACTTGATGACCTTGCTGGGGAAGTACTCATCAATGAGCTCCATGTAGTAGGGCTGTCGAGTTGTTAGTCTCAAAATCAATTGAGGTCGAGTAAGAATAAGAAACATACCTTGAGCTCCTCGACGGTGGGGGCGTCATCAGACTTGCTGTACAAGTCGTAGGGGTTGAAGGCGAGGACAGCCTTGAGGAGGTCCTCATCACCCTCCTTCATGAACTCGCGGTAGGCGCCCTCGCGGTGCCAGGGGTAGAAGGAGTGGTAGCGGATCATGGCAAGAGCCTCACGGGGAAGCTTGGACTGCTCCTTGCAGACGGTGTACATGTACTCGTCGTGGCCCCAAGAGATCATCAGGTTCTCAATACCGCAGCCAGGCTTGTAGATGCCGTTCTTGGTGCTGTGGACGGGGTGGTTGATATCGGGGTTGCCCTCGAAGGTGGTGGGGAGGACAATACGGTTGTCAAAGGCGCATCCGACGGGGAAGGTGTCACCGACGACATCCCACTGGCCCTCGGCTCCGTAGAAGAAGAGGAGCTTGCCGAGATCGTGGATCAGGCCGGTAAGCTGCATCCAGCGGGGCTTGCCGTCACGGCGCATGGCCTCGGCGGTCTGGAGCAAGTGCTGGATCTGAGAAAGCTCGGTGTCGGGGTCCGAGTCGTCGATGAGGGTGTTGAGCTTCTCCATGGCCTCCCAGATGGTCATCTCATCGCGGCAGGGGATCTTGCCAGTGAGGTCGATGGCGAACTTCTCGCGGGCCGCAAGGTTGTACTCGACGGTCTGCTTCTCATGCTGCTCCTTGTAAAAGGTCTTGACGCGGTCGCAGGCATCCTCGTACTGGCGGAAGGCGGTCTTGTCCTTCTCTGAGTCGAACTTGGACTCGCCCTCGTAGTCGTTCTGTGCCTTGTTGTACTGGTCCTTGAGGATGTTGACCTCCTCGACAAAGTCGGTGGTCTCCTCGAGGGCGTGTCCGTCGGTGCGGACGTAAGGGGTGGTGACGGCAGCTGCCATTGTGACGATAGCTCAGAAAGATGGTACAAAAAGTCTTAGAATGGATTACACTTGATATGAAGAAAGAGGCGATAAGCTGATGTTGTTTCAAATGGGGTATCACTCGAAATGCTGAAGACTGGGTTGATGATGAGCAAGAAGAGGAGAGGTAGGTATCTGGAGAAAGTCTTTAAATATGTTGTTGAAGACAAGATCACAGAAGATAATGGCTATGGAGGGCGACAAGAGTGACGGAGGAGTTGGGCGGGAAAAACTCGGACATGGCGAGGTACCTGGTGCTGCCCGCCAGGTGCGGTATTCGGGCCAAGTACCTCGTCATGGCAGCACCGGGTGTGGTGGGCAAAAGGCTAACTTTGACAAGCAGCCCGAGTTGACGTTTTTGCCGTGAGGATCCACGGGTCGTCATCCCCATGGCCCTTGTCTTGCCTGTGCAGAATATGCCCCACGGAGAGTGGTCATGATCCAGATGGAGCAGGAAAGACGGGGCGAGATTTCAGATCTGTGGAGAGCCCTTGGAGAGTTGCGACGTTGCGACGAGAAGGGCGACGCCATGAGGGGATTCCAGGTTTTGCGCGGTTGGAAGAGGAGAAAATCGCCGAATCTTTGCTGGAAGAGGACCCCACCCAGATGAACGGATGGATCCACTCTTATTTTGCCGGAGCCAAAGGAGATAATTTCCCCGGTCACATGACCTCACATGACTCCCAGGTCTCTCGACTAGTCCCAATTGGGATACTATGGAGACTCGCGCAAGTCGTCGGAATTTCCCAAACATTTGACCTCTCGTCAACTCTCGACGACAAGGGCAAAGATTCCCGAGATCCACGACAGCAATCCTTGTTAGTCCAAACGCTTCTTCCACACCTTCATCCCGCTTCGCCCAACTCCAGACTCCACGACTCCACGCCAACCGCATTCCGGGATGGCCAGAAACGATGCAATGTGACGGCGCCCTGCGTCTCTGCCAATCTTGGATTCTTCCTGCGGCAAAGCTTAATCGCTTTTCCCCCGGTCACACCCTCCAAGTCTTCGACTACCTCTGGCCCCGCCGCCATCATCATGGGATTTGCAGACTATTTTTGATTATTCCCTCTTTTGGCACTTGGCTGCCACGCAGACCTCGACGCCCCATGCCAACACCAACCAACGCCATTCCCGCTCAATGCAGGATATCTCCATCCCCGCGGATTCCTCTCCTCTTTTCAGTAATGGCCTCCTACTGATTGGATATAGAACACTTGCCGGAGGAGATATCCTAGTGGTCCCTTGCCCAGACCTCTCTCCTCACCGTCACCTGCCGTCCCGGCCTTCTCCCGAGATTCTTGGCTTCGGCGCCTTCGATTCGCCCAAAACAAACAGGTCTGACATCAATCTTGGTCACGGCTTCGGGGCCTCCTTCCCAATATCGTCCCTGACGGTAATCCAGGGCGAGCTTGTCCAAGACCTGCTGGCTTCCCCACGCTCTCCAAACAACCCCGCGGGATCTGGATGGAACGCGGTGTGCGGGGAGCCCGTGAGGAGCATCACCACCTTCGAAATTAGAAACTCCCGAGATCAGGTTGGCTAGCGATAACCCGCGGACAAGAAGGACCCAAGCAGATGGAATCGCGAAATATGTCCGATTGCTTTCAGCCTGCATCGCACGCTATACTACTGTTCCAGCCAAGCCAGGCCAGCCATATCCTGCCGCTACAAACACGGCATCATCACACATCTACACTATCAAGTCGGGTATCCACAGATTGTAAACCAAGCGAAATCCAAGTCCGGGGGACGTGTCCAGTCCCGTCCGGTTCAGTTCAGTCCAGCCCCATGCACCGAGTCTATCGTGATCCATATCCAGTCCTAGTGAGAGGCGATCTCTCTCGTGTCTCGCCAGCAGTCATTATCGTGACCCAATCAAAGAGGCCTTTGTCAAACATCTTCTCAGCCACTGGCCTGCCAGTCCAGTTCGCCTACGCGTGTCTCTGAACCCCGCCTACCCCAGCTTCTGCGGTCTGAGGTAGGCGGTCACCCAGTCCTGCTCAATCCTCGCTCATTGCTTCCCCATCCATCCACCCCCATGCGTGCATCAGCTGATCCCGCACCGCTGTCGTGGGCCTTGCGTGGGCCTTTTCGGTGAGGCTGAGCATCTTCAGCAGAGCTTCCTGGTCATGTCTGGTGTCGAATCGATCACCGGCTGGAGGGGCCTTGTGTCAGTTTACCTGCTATTCTGGCGGCTGGAGTTCCAAAATTGCAGAAAGAGGAAAAAAGCAACGAAGGAAGAAGGCAGAGGATACAAAAAAAGCAAAACTTACCAATGGCTATACCCATACACGCCGTGAACATGGCCGGTGGTGACCACTGGTTGCACATGCCAATTCCACAAAGACTCCGCAGAAGATTCTGAATCTGATGCGTCAACCTTTTTTCCGCGGCTTTACGGCCACCGCCGACTCGTGGTATGCTCGGGTTGAACAGCACGAGGTACATTTCGGCGAGAATGTGATGTTGGACGGCAATGACTACCAAGCAGTGGTTGGTAAGCGGGAGGTCTATCCAAGATGAGAGCAGCCATGAGCCAGCCTTTCGGATCGTCGGATATCTGAGAGAGTCTCGATGTCCGGAAGCAGTTCCGAGATCAGGCCAGACCAGACGGGACCAGACCAGGGGTATACTCACTATGACACGCCTTCTGGTACCATACTTCGGGGAAAGCCTCCTCATCTGTCCTCTCTCGGAAGAAGATGGGAGTGTACGACGGTGGTAGCGCATTCTTCCATTCTCTGTTTGCCATTTCCAGCTGGCCCCATTGCAGAACCGACCCCGCCTCGGACCCGAAGCAGAAGTTGAGGACGTCGGCGCAGTGGACAATGGCACGATTCGCCCAGATAAAGTCGTCGGCCGGGGTCGTGGATCGGTCGACAATGGCATGACCGAGATTCATTCGGACAACCTGCTGGTTGATGACGGCGCTGTAGATCTCCTGCCTCAAACCCGCCCAAAAGCATGCCGCCGTTAAAGTTCCCGGCATCAAGAATCGGTCTCCAGCATTGACAAAGGCGTGGATTCCGAGGAGGTGGCCGTGCGTGTCTTGGCCGAGGGTGTTTACATCGATTTCCTCCAGCACGCGAAGTATGATTGTTGCAGCAAACAAGTTTTCGTCCGACACCGTGCCTGCGTGGTCCAGCAGCGGGATCAAGTAGTTGAGGCACTGCTCGTGATACCTATTCGATGCTAGCGAGTCGTATGCGCTCGTCAGGCTGAGATGCCTCGAGGCGAGGGCGAAGATTGCGTTGAGCAAGATGGGACACGAGCCGGCCCGTTGCGGCACTTCGACTTCGAAATGTCTGGATGGATCACACGCGTCGAGCTGATTATCCGGTCAGTATGGTCTCTTCGCCACTTCCAACAAACAAGCCATCCCGCAATGGTTTCAACATACCCAGAACCCAAGTTTATCCACGTAATGACGGAACAGCGTAGCTTCTTTTCGCCCATGGATGGGCCATACCGGTCGATCGGTGTATATGCCCTCCAACGGCGGCAACACGGACTGCATGGGCGGCAGACTCACAACGGAGCCTGAGTGCTCGCGATGGCTACCGTGCTGGCTGTGGTTATCAGCGCCGGGCGTACTCAACGATATTCGATGCGGAGGTTGGACAGGCTCGTCCACCACATCGCCGCCATCACCAACGTTTTTGGCACCGGGCCGGCTCTCGTCGCCAGGCAAAGGCCAGCTTGCCGCCTTTGCTGCGTATATTGACGGCCGACGCTGGTCCTCGGAGACTGTTGAGTCTACGGCTGTGGCCGTCCCCGGTGACGTGGAAGCGACTTCTGTAGCGACGTCTGTTGCGGCTTCTGTTCCTGCTTCGTCAACGTCCGGCGCCGAGTCGTGTACGGACTCGTTGCTGTCGAGGTCCTCGCCGAGCTCGACAACGCGAGTCTCATCGATGAACTTGAGCTTCTTCGGCGGCGCAGGCCACTTGTGGCTCTCTTTGAAGACGGCGTGCTTGGGTGCGCGAAACTTGTAGCCCTTCTTGCACTCTCGCCCCGTCATCAAGCACCGCCCGCAGATGGGCAGCACTCGATCACATCGAAGGTGCTGCTCGCGACACTGCTCGCTGCACGACGAAATACCAGTCAGCAAGCTCGTTCTTGATCACAATGTCTCTCTCAGAGTCTGCGCATCTCTCAGGTCGAGTTCAGGGCCACCGCAACCGACTACCTCACTCTTCGTCAGAGGAAACAGCAAGGACGACGACGACGACGATGACCTCGAGCTTCACCTTGCCGTCCCCGGTGAGAGCTTCACGGCCTTCATCTCGCCCATTCTGCCCGGTTCCCCCGCGCGCGCGCGCGCAAGGTGAGCGGCGCCGCCGTCCGTGTCGCCGTCGGTGCGAATGGCCTCCAAATCGACGTCTCCAAAACAGGTGTTTTTCCCCGAGAGGCCCGCCCCTCCTTGGGTGGATCAGCAGAGTTTCACTCACCAGGTCGTGGCACTTAGCGAATCAGGCGCTTCGGGAGACGGCATGGCACTTGTGCCACTTGCAATTCTTTCCGAGCCCCCAGTTGAGGCTGCAATGAAATGATTGAAACCCGGGGAAGATGGAGAAGATCTGGGGGAGCCCCTCGATTTTTGAGCAGATCTGAAATTGAATTGAAGCTTGAGTCCGGGGCGACGACCAGTGACGTGTGTGGGGATGCGAGTTGGTCAGCAGCACATCCGACGACACCTCTCCACTCACGACACACACACAGCACACACACACACACACTCAGTTTTGGCACAGACACAGGGACCCCTTTTTAGCAGTTCAGACTCTGTCAGTTTCTGGGCACTTCAGGCCAGTCTCAAAGGCCAGCAGACGCCGATGGCCTAGCCTCTCCGACGGTTCTCCAGCGCTCTCTCTTCTCGGTCGGTACTTCATCCAACTGTGCCAATGGCACCAAGGTCTGCAGATACTTGAAGACTCTTGTTGGCTCTTCTGGGCTCTTGGATTCAATTGTTCCCGGGCCTCTGGTTCTTCAGCAAAGTCGAACGAGTTTCCCAATAGTTGTCTTTTCATTCGTTGGCTCTTCTTTCCCACATTACCGGCGCCAACTCCATCTTCTTTCTCACTCACCTGAAGGCTGAACGTGGACTTTTCTTCCCCGCCCTCCCTTGCAGCAGCAGCCATGGACTTCTTCCCGATGGCTTGGGTCTGCTCGCAACCAACGATTCAACGGCCGCTCAGCTGACCATTTCGACACCACCAACATGGCGACGCTCAAACTTCCCCCGCACGCTAAAGTTGCCCAGACAAACTCAATGGTAGCAAAGGGTTCCCATCTCCGTCCCAACGGACGGCCTGGCAGATGTCGAACGCACCCTGTCATGACACAGAAAACACGCCAACCCCCCTTTGGCGACACCCGACGACAGAAATGTCACGTCGCTTTACCTTATCTCGCCCAGGTCCAAAGTACCCCAGCATCTGCCATCAAAAGATGAACGGGTACCCCTCGCCGACGAGAACCAATCTGCCCAATGGCTAGCTCCCTTTCCTGCTCTTCCATGACTCAAAAGGAGTCAAAGGCCCTTGCGAGTTGCGACGGCTTCGGTAACTTTGACCAGTCCCTGGTCTCCTCGGCACAGGATTCTTCTCATCCTTCATTAGCTGACGACTGGTCTTTCGGAAGATTGCCCTTGTTTATTTGACAAAAAAAAAGGACGCGCGATACCGAACTGAACAAATCAAATCAAACAACCAGACATGTCAAGGTCCAGGCCCCAGTCTTTCGCACTTCGTCAAAAAATTCGAGCCCTTTCTTTTGTGGGTTTTCCCATCGAAGCCTTAGCCATCGTCCCACACAATCCAGACCGTTCGTTCCCGTCGCGCGCGAATATTTTGTTGTTATATAACTTCCGGTGATTCCCCCCCAATCTCCACTCGACGATCTTCTCTCTTTAGCAAGCAGCATCTCCCAGCGCGGCCGCTTCTCAGTGCTCTTTTATCTCCTCACATCACCGCCCAACGCAGCCTTGGCAACGCTCGACGATCTCCACGTTGAGTGCGCAATCTTCCTTTGCAGCACGTGATAGTGTGTGCATCGCCACAGATCCTCGAGAGAATTCAGTTTCTCTTTGAGAAGAGTATCAGCAACAAACTCCGCCACGCCACTCCACGCCGCGCTCCCCCCCCAAAAAGCATCCACGATGGAGTCCAAATCGGCGTACGATGATGTGTCCGCCGCCCCAGACCGCGTCTCGGCCGAGATCGGCGATCACCACTCGGCCAAGCTCGCCAGCAACTTTGTTCAGAATGCCAAAGCGGCTACAGAGAAGGAGCACAAGATGACTCTGCTCCAGGGCATCAAGCTCTACCCCAAGGCCATTGCCTGGAGCGTGCTTATCTCCACCTGCATCGCCATGGAGGGTTACGATATCAGTCTCGTCAGCAACTTTTACGCCTTTCCGCAATTCAACCAAAAGTACGGCGTCCTCACCTCGGACGGATCCTACCAGGTCCCTGCGCCGTGGCAAGCCGGCCTCAGCAACGGTGCCACCGTCGGCGAGATCATCGGCCTCTTCATCAACGGATGGGTCTCGGAACGTTTCGGCTACAGGTGGACCGTCATCATCTGTCTTTTGCTTGTCGCCTGCTTCACCACAATCTTCTTCACCGCGCAAAACGTCCAGACTCTGCTCGTCGCCGAGATCCTCTGCGGTATCCCATGGGGTGTCTTCCAGACGCTGTGCATCACCTACGCATCCGAGGTCTGCCCCGTCGCCCTGCGCGGCTACCTGACCACCTATGTCAACTTTTGCTGGGGTATGGGCCAGGAAATTGGTATCGGCGTCATCGTCTCCATGCTCGACCGCAACGACGAGTGGGCGTACCGCATTCCCTACGCCCTGCAGTGGATGTGGCCGGTGCCTTTGGCAATTGGCATCTACTTTGCGCCCGAGTCGCCCTGGTGGCTGGTGCGCAAGGGCAAGATTGATGAGGCTAAGAAGTCGCTGCTGCGCCTGACGAGCTTGGACAAGGAGACGGATTTCGACGCCGACGAGACGGTCGCCATGATGGTGCACACCAACTCGATTGAGGAGAAGATCACCGAGGGCGCATCCTACCTGGACTGCTTCAAGGGCGTAGACCTACGCCGCACCGAGATTGTGTGCATGGTCTGGGCCATTCAGAACCTCAGCGGTAACTCGTTCTCCAACTACTCTACGTAAGTCTCTTCTTGTCTCGCTTGCGCTTCCGCCGCTTTGTCTACCTACATGGACTAACACGATGATGCACGCAGATACTTCCTCAAGCAAGCCGGTCTCTCCACCAGAAACTCGTACAACTTCGCCCTCGGCCAGTACGCCATCAACATGGTCGGTGTCTTTGGCGCGTGGTTCCTCATGTCGTGGGGTATCGGCCGTCGCACGCTGTACCTCTACGGTCTCTGCGGTCTCTGCAGCATGCTCATGATCCTCGGCTTCCTGGGCCTCGTACCGTCGGAACACCGCGACCAGGGCGCGCTCGCGACGGGCAGCATCATGATGGTCTGGGCTCTATTCTACCAGCTCACCGTCGGCACGGTGTGCTACTCGCTCGTCAGTGAATTGCCGTCGCGTCGCCTGCAGATCAAGACTGTCGTGCTTGGTCGTAACCTCTAGTAAGTTCTACCTTTTGCATCCCCGCCTCGGCGCGATTGAACAGAGGCTAACCTCACCGCCCCGCAGCAACATTGTCGGAATCATCAACAACGTCCTCACGCCGTACATGCTCAACCCCAGCGCGTGGAACTGGCAAAACTACACGGGCTTCTTCTGGGGCGGCATCTGCTTCCTCTGCTGCGTGTACACCTACTTCCGCGTCCCCGAGCCCCGCGGCCGCACCTACGCCGAGCTGGACAAGCTGTTTGAGCACAAGATTAGCGCGCGCAAGTTCGAGGGCACCACGGTCGACGTGTTTGAGGAGGGCGCCGTCGACGAGAAGGCGATGAATAACTATCACCAGCAGATTCGCGTCTCGCACTCTGAGAAGGATGTGCAGGTGTAGAGTGCTGTTGGTGTGGGGTATTGCTCTTGTCTCTTGCAAGCGCTGTGTGCTGCACAGCTTGTCGAGCGAGAAGAGATTGGGCTATGAAATAAATGATGGACGAAAGAACGTAATGCCGTAATGCATGTATTTAATTCCGACGAAGTATATGAATCCTCTAACGAAATTGTTAATCCGCTTCAACTTGCCCTTTCTCTTCGCGTGCATTATCTCAACTGTCCAGAATCCACACATGAACCCGCCGAGATGATGCGACTGTCAGCACCAGGTCGATTTTCTCCAAAGTCCGTCGTCCCCCGCATCACCACTTTCCCCGCACGAGAGGACCTATGTGTGAAGGTGATGGCCGCGGCTGTCGTACGAATGGGGGGTGGTTGACGCGGGAGAAGACGGGAGGATTCAAGTCGGGGCAGTTTGGCGCGGCATGTGAGGAGAGTGGTCCAAGGGGGAGAGGGAGGCGGGGGTTGCATCCAGAGAGATCCTCTTCGGGGTTTTTGGGGTTTAAGCATTCCTGTCGCGGTGGCTGGTTGGCTGGGTTTATTCTCCGCAGCCTCCAACTGCCGGATAGTCTGTTCTGTCTTTGATCTGTGTCTGTGTGATGGGCGAAGCTTTTTCGCGAGACATCGGCCGAGGACTCGTGGGATTGTGTCACGTCGGATGGATGACAAGTCCGTTAGTTCATCCTCTCTGTCGGAACCGCAAGTGGACGGGTGACCATCTCGGATAGTTTCCCTGCCATATCGCCGAGATTTGACGATTACCTAGGTCATATTGAGATCATTTTGCCATGTTGTTCTTGAGATGGCAAGGATGGCAAAACAAGCAACAAGACTAGAAGAGACAAGTCCGTCGCGCCAGAGCCACCCAGCTACGCTACCGGAGAGTTCAAACCAAAGTGGGTACAAATCCGTCATGTCCTTATTCTTACATGACAGACGCCAGCAACATTCGACTAAAAGTGGCTCCCTCCTTTGCGTGTGTGTGTGTTTGGAAATCCGTCAACTTTTTTCGACGGATAAACACATCCACTCAGTCACAGCATATGCAAACCTTCCCTCAATGCTTCAATCTGCTATCCACTGCACTTAATCTACAGAGTCCATTGTGTTAACAAATTCACAGCGGCCGGGTCTCCGCGATTGCGGGGACCCCACACAGCCATCACGGGCTTGAAGGAGGGGGGGGTTTAGAGCAACCGAGCAGGGTAGCATGGGCGAGGTACTCTGTAGACAGAAACCAAGAGAGAGAGAGAGAGAATGAGCCGGGCCAAGAGTCAGAGGTGGTAGTAGTGTCCTAGAGTAGCGCGGCTTTCCTGGGAGGATCCAACACCGTGGTTGCGTCAAGTCTATACCTGGTCGTCCTTTCGGGTTTGTACGCCTATGTGTTTCTTGGAGCCTCCCGTTAGTCTCGACTACTACCTTACTATTTACTTCGTAGTCGTCCAACTACATATGAACCTACATCTCTCCAACTTCATTTCTCTTCTTTAAAGTGTCAAGTGTATCATCATCGCATAACCGCCGACGGAACGCCTACAGACGGAACCAACATAGCCGACAACCTTAAACGACAGTCCAAAATGTCGACAACCGACAAGCCCGAAATATCCTTTGTCGACGACAGGGACGACGATACCCGGTCCGACTCGGAGAAGGCGCTTGTAGTGCGCATAATCGACGATGTGCGCGCTCTGGGGCTCAGCGAGGATGATGTCGAGTTTTATGCCAATTTCACGCCGGAGCAGCGCAAGACGACAATTCGCAAAGTGAGTTTAGTTTTTTGGGATTTTCCCGTCATAGTTTTAAAGAAAAAGAAAAAAAAAAAGGAATGAGATTGGTTGCTAACGCTGAGAGAAAAGGTCGACGTCCGCTTGGTACCGATGCTCGCGGTTCTCTACCTCATTTCCCATCTCGACCGCGCCAACATTGGCAATGCCAAGATTGAAGGTCTGGCCAAGGACCTTGGGCTCAGCGGTGTGCAGTGGAACATTGCCCTCAGTGTCTTCTTCGTTCCCTATGTCCTTCTTGGTACGTTGTATTCCTTTCAACTCAGACTATGTCAGTCCTCGTACTCCAACAAAAGTTACTAACTTCTTTCCAGAGGTCCCTAGCAACATTATCCTCAAGAAGTTCAACCGTCCCTCCGTTTACCTCGGCACCCTCGTAACGATATGGGGCGTCATCATGACCTGTCACGGCGTCGTCAAGAACTTTGCCGGCCTTCTCAGTGTTCGTCTGCTTGCTCTTAGGCGTCTTTGAGGCCGGTTTCTACCCTGGCGCTGTTTACCTTTGCACTTTCTGGTACTTGCCGTGAGTACACCCCTCGCCACTTTTGCTTCTTCCCAAAAGACCTCTACTAACCATCTGAATAGTCGCGACCTCGAAGGCATATTCACCGTCGGCCTCGGCATCGCCACCTTCTTCTTCCTCATCGACCGCCCCTCGCTCAGCGGGAAGTGGCTCACGCCCGAAGAGATCCGCTTCCTCGAGATCCAGCACTTCATCAAGCAGGGAGGCCGCTTCCAGGACGAGAAGCAGGAGGACAAGTTCAAGTGGCACGATCTCAAGGCCGTTGTCACGAACTGGCGGCTGTACATGCAGGCGTGGACGCTCCTCGCTACCTCGGCGTGCAGTTACGGTACCAAGTTCACGTTACCTACCATCACGAAGGCCATGGGCTTCAACAACACGGCCGCGCAGCTTATGACGGTCCCGCCGTACTTTTGCGGTGCTGCCTCTGCCATCTTCTTCGCTCGCCTGTCGGACAGATACTACTGGCGCATGCCCTTCGTCGCGATCCCCATGGGCCTCATCACCATCGGCTACGGCGTCATCATCTCCTTCAAGGGCGATCTGTCCGGTAACATCGCGGGAGCCATGGTTGGCTTCATCATCACCTGCATGGGCATCTACCCCATCCAGCCCGCGGGCTCCTCCTGGGCGGCGAACAACCTCGCTCCGGCCTCGCGCCGCGCTATCGGCGTCGCCTTCAATATCTGCGTGGGCAACATTGCTGGTATCATCGGCAGCTACATGTACCTCGACAACGAGAAGCCCAAGTACTACACCGGTTTCGGCCTGTCGCTGGCGTTTGGCGGTAGCGGGTTGATTGTTGCGCTGCTGCTGGAGTGGAGCTACAAGTGGGGGAATGACAGGAAGGCCAAGATGTCCGAGGAGGAGATTGGGGCAAAGTACACGGAGCAGCAGCTTATGGATAATGGGTTACAAGAGCCCTCACTTTAAGTACACTCTGTAAGAGCTCTCCGAGAGGCTCTTCAGAGGCGATGGACTATGGATGGTACAGACTGGGCCTTGGTGGCCAGTTGATGGCGGTGGAGGATACGATAGGTGCGGCGTGCGGAAGATGTTCTTGACACTTATTATTTTTCCCGAGTAAATAGCGATTGTTGATGCCGATAATAAACAGCAATCCTTTCTGGCCCAATATTCTATCTCTGTCTCACTCCTTTACTGTGACATTTGAGTCATAATGTGCTTCAACTTCGCAAAAGTTTGGTTGAGTCCTGAGAGTTGGAGTATCATGAACCTATTTGTTGCCCAAAGACTCGAGTGTTTGACAAACCTAAAAAGACCACTTTTTGCTCAATACCAAACAAGAGAATATTTCCTGTCAACTCTAGCACGTCAATGAATTGTCTTTGAGCTTTGCAATACTCACGGATTTTGACTGGCCAAGTAACTTCATGTCGTGTCACAAAATCCATTGCAATCAATCTGAGGCGCTCTTTACTCTACGAGGAGAAATTACTATTATCGTGCCGATTGTTGAATTTGAGGGCCAAGTATCTAGGTGTGGTAGTTCTCATGTGCACTTGTCTCTCTTGGTCGTTGCGTATGCATCATTTCACAACTGAACCGTGTACTTCTCAGGTGCCAAGCATGTGCCTGCCAAGCTCCATGAGCAATCTCTAGTTGCTACGCCTCTCAAGTCTGAAGTCCGACAACTGACTCGCTCTTGGCACATGCCGAGACATCCCGGCGGAATCCCTGACTCTCGAGAAATGTCAGCCTCTTCACCGGCAATGATCGGTTGTAAGGAGGAGCTATCGTGATGTATTGCAACCCTCATGCATATGTTATCTTGGGAGTCGGAAGACGTGCCGAACAAGTCAGATGCGGAAACTCAACGGGTAATACTGGCTGTTTGAGAATGCTGCCTGCTCATCCACTACCTATGTCGATGATTACATTACGTTCCTTCATATTTGCTGCATGGTGTCTTCTGATGACGGGGAAACCCGGGCTCACCCCCCCATTCTCTGGACCCTCTCCCCCAGGAATCCTAAGAATCCGCCTCGGTGTCGGATCTAGCACCACCCCGGGTCACCCCGGACCACCCCGGATCTGTCGCATACCCACGAACCGAACACGCAGCAACTATCAAGTCAACAAACACGACAGACTATGTGCGTCTAGTGCTTCCCCCGCAGCAAAAGGAGGAGGAAGCGGGAGAAAAGACACCCTTGTCCCTGGTCGTCGTAGCGGCCCCCGCCTCCCCCCCAAGTCAGAAAGTCTTGTCTTTCCCCAGACAAATCCCCTCCGTTTTCCGTCGATTTGCGCCAGTTTCCTGTCCCACCTCTCTTCCTTCTTTTCCGACTTTCCATCCAGTCCCCTCCTCGAACCCTTTCCGCCCAAGGTAACCCGCCCATTCACTGTGCGCAACGCGCGGGCGTAACCGCGTGCGTGCGTTTTCGTCGCTCCACTGGGCACCGGGCATAAGCAGACAAATCAGAAAAAGCAAAAACAAAGATAACAGGAAAAGGAGAGCACAGAGCGAGTGGACCCTTGCAAAGTCCGTCGACTCTCCGTCGCGTTTGCTCCCCCGGCCATGGACGCCCCGGAGTATCGCCGTCCTCTCCCCGGCCCGGGCAGCCCGGCTCCCGATGGCCGTCACTCCTCGTCGGCCGCCTCAGCCGCCGCGGCCAGCAGTCCCCGTGGTGACTCGCGGAAAAGAAGCTTCAGCTCCGCCGCCGATCAGCACTCGCCTCTGTCCGACGAGCTCACCGGGACGGGGTCTTCGTCCTCCGCTGCCGCTGCCGCCGCGAATCGCCGCAAGTTGCAGAAAGTCAGCCGCGCGTGCGACTTTTGCAAGCAGCGCAAGGCACGGTGCAGTGGGACCATCCCCTGCGACAAGTGTACCAGAAAGGGCCTCACGTGCGTCTACGATGCAAAGTACTCCCGCGGACGCCCCCCGACCCCTCCGCCTTCGGCCGTTTGGTCTACGGGTTCCAACGCCGTGTCTGGATCCGAGGAGCCGCCTGTTGTCATGTATCGCACTACTGAAGGGGGAGGGGGAGAGCATGTCGCTGCACCGGCCGCGCCGTCGCGTTCGCTGAGGGGACATGTACGCGAGAGCCAGGGCCCGGCGTCGCGAGCCTCGCCCGAACTCGGTATGGCTGAGATCCAGGGCCAGATCTTCGACCCAACGTCTGGCGTAACTTTCTTGCACAGGGCCTGGAAGCGGCTCTCGAAACACGAGAGTAACATCGTGCCGGACGAGCTGAATGCTTCGACTGAGAGCCAACCACTCATGCTGGCTGGTGATAAGCCGCTGCCCCCGGTCACGGACGAGGATGTGGCCAACTTGTCGCTTCCAGACTCGAGAGAGATCAAGGATCTGTTGGCCCTGTACTTTGATGTGTCCATCGCGACCTACCGCGTCCTGCACCGTCCCTCCGTCGAGGCATGGCTGAGGACCATGATCAACAACCTCCGCGACGGAAAAGCTGTCTGGCAGGATATTGGCCGGGGTAGAGCCTCCATCGTCCTCACGGCGCTCGCCATCGCGACCGCCCACAATGAAAAGTCCCAGGGGGTTCACTCACCGGAAGGCGAGGCTTTGTCCCTGGCTCGAAGTGACCAACTCTTTTGCGTCGCACTGCAGCTCACAGAGCGCGAGACAGGGCTTCCGCGACTTGAATCAGCCCAGTCACGCTTGATCCAGGTTCTCTACCTCCTCACCACGTCGCGGATGAACCGTGCCTGGTATACCTTTGGAAACGCGCTTCAGATTATATCTGCGCTGGGCATGCATAGAAAAGCGGCCAAGAAGCGGCACTTGACACCGGGCAACTCGGATTACATCCAGGCCCAGTGTCGCATGCGAACGTTTTGGACCAGCTATGTCTTGGACAAGTACCTGGGCGTCATATTCGGTCGTCCACGCCACTTCCACGATGATGACATCGACCAAGACTACCCGGACAGGATCGACGACGAGGATATGACTGCACAAGGACCCATTGAGAGATCGGAAGAACATTCTGATTGTCACATTGACGCGCTGATATTCCACGCCAAGTAAGTGAGCCCCATGTCTGATCATACTCTCTACCTTTGATGCTGACATGTGACAGAATTGCACAAATCATCGGAAACACATCAAGAGAAGTCTACTCGATAAAAGCAATCTCCGAACAAGAACGCGTCGCCGCCGCACACCGCCTCAGTGAAAAGATCCACGAATGGCGCGCCAGTCTCCCGCCTCATCTCGGATCGATCCGCCCCTCCATGCTGATCCCAAGCTTCCGTCGCCAAGCCACGGTCCTCAAGCTGGCCTACTCCCACGCCATCATGCACGCGAACCGCCTCTTCCTCCTGGGGAATCTGAGCTCCGGCAGCGAGACGCAGATCTTGGAGTGCATCGGCGCAGCGAGGACGGTGCTCGAGACCGTGGACGGTATGGCTGCTGAGGGTCCCATCTTCCACGCCTTTTGGTGGACGCAGTATGTTACGTTCTGCGCCCTGCTGGTCACGTACGTATGGGATATTCAGCAGAAGAGGCGAGGCATCAGGCTTGAGGGAGAGGGCAAAGCGAAGCATACTAAGCTCATGGACCTGGCTGAGCGGTGCCAGACGCATCTTGCGCACGCCACGGCGTCCAACTCCCCCAGCCGCCGGTATGCCATTATCCTGGAAGAATTCAGAACGGAGGGTCTCGGGCAGATGTCACGGCAGAGTCAGATGAATTCACAGGCGCCCCGGACTTCTGCACCTCGACCGGCTGCGCCCCCTGCAGACGCCCATGTGGCACCCACGCAAGGGAATGGGGGAAACGGAGGAGCTACGATGGCGGCGGACGGATTTGACTTTAACCATGCGTATGCTGCCGAGTCTGGCACCGTTGATATGATGGACCAGGGCGATGCAGGGTTCTTGGGGTCTAACTTGCTCGATGAGTGGCAGACGACCGATTGGCTAGACCTCGACTCTTCTGCTTTTGGCCCATATCTGGACATTGACTCAAGTCCGTTGGCTTGGATGCCGGATATAGGAGGATAGGGACGAGGACTTAAATACAGTCTATAATAATTGCATTGATCTATGTCTTCTAAATGGTGAACTTTGTCAAGTTCTCAGGGCCCGTCTCCTGTGCCACCTTCTTCACCTCCTCCTCTCCCAACTCCTGGAAGATATCGAAACCCCATCTCGTCTGCCAGTTGAATCTCTTGTTCCTCTCGAGTCCATTCAACTGCGCAAACGCATCCGCGGGCAGCTCCTGCACCTTGAAATTGGACTCTATCCGGCTAGGAGTAACACTCTTGGGCAGAACAACAGTGCCGCGCTGGACACCCCAAATAGCAAGCAACTGGCCGCCGTCAATGCCGAGCTTCTTGCCCAGCTCGCCGACGAGAGGATCGTCTACCGTCCTCGGCTCGCCCGTCTGGTTGTTGCCCAGAGGCGAGTAGGCGGCGAGCTGGATGCCCTTTGACTTGCAGAACTCGAGGAGATCCGGCTGTTGAAGGTACGGGTGTGCCTCGATCTGGTTGACAGCGGGAACTGTCTTGGTCTTAGTGAGGAGGTCCTCGATGCGCTGCTTAGTGAAGTTGGAGACGCCGATGGCGCGGACCTTGCCGCTTTGGACCAGCTTCTCCATGGCTGCCCACGTTTCCGCGGGGTCAATGTCGGCCAGCTCAAAGACGCCGTTGGAGTCAATGGGGAACCATTTATCCGACGGCTTGAATGCCCTGTAATTCTGGTCAGTACATGCATTATTTTTGTTTCGTCCTGCACAAATGCTGTCACAAAGAGGCAAAGAATGAGACTTACACTGGCCAGTGCATCAGGAACAAATCAAGGTAGTCCGTTCCCAAGTCCTTCAGCGTCTTGTCAACACCAGACTCGACATCTTCGGGTGCGTGCTTGGTGTTCCACAGCTTTCCCGTAACAAAGATCTCTGAGCGAGGCACGCCGCTCTTGCGAATGCCCTCACCAACTTCCGC